TATAGTTATTAATTAATATAATTTAATATTTTTTTTATTATAATTAATAATATAAAAAAGCTTATAAATATTTATATAAATTATATTTTTTATATATTTAATAACCTATAGTTAATTATTATATAGCTTTTTTTTTTATTTTTTTTAAAATAAAGTTTATAAAAATAATATTTTTAAATAGTATTTATTTTATTTATTATATTTTTTAAGTAAATAAAATTATTATTATTTAAGTATTTTATATAATTATATTATAGCTTTAGTTTAAAATTAATAAAATAAAAAATTAATATTTATATTAATAATATATTTATTTAAAAAATAAAAAAACTTTTAAATTATTATATTAAAATTTTAAAAATATTTTTTTAATAATATAATTATTTTATAAAATTATTATTTTCTTTTTTTAATTAAAAAGCTAGATTATAAAAAGTAAATTAAAGCTTAGATTTAATATAAAAAATATATTAATAAAAGTAATAATTATTAATATATTTTTATTTATATACTTTTAAATTTTTATATTTATAACTTTAACTTTAATTTTAAAGTTTTTTATATTATTAAATATATTATTATATAACTAAAGTAATTTTAAAATAAATTTATTTTATTAATATAAGTATTATTATTTAAATAGTGTTTTTTTATTTAAGTAATATTTTAATATAATTAAATTATATTTAGCTAGGTTTAATAAAGCCTAGGCTAGTTTATTAAAATATAATATAATATATTAAAATATATAAAATCAATTATAAATAAATATTATAACTTTATATTATAATATTTTTTTATTAATTTTTAATTAATTAAATAATTAAAAAATAACTTAAAGTATATAGTATATTTAAATATTAATAAAAATTAAAGCTATTAATTAAAAGACTTTATAAATAAAGCTAAAATAATTATAAATTATAAAAAGTAATAAAAGCAAAAGAAATTAAAAAAGAAAATAAAAAAACTATAGCCAGGCCTTAGGTACTTAAAGTACTTAAAGTTTTTAATATTTTATAGTTATAGAAAAAAGCAATGCTATAGATACTGCAAAGGTTAAAGAAGTTATTCTAGTAATATAAATATAGCCTTAGAAAATATAATTATAATAGCTTTATTTTATATTTTTAGCTATAATATTTAATAATTATTATTTAATTTTTATATATAGTTTTAGCTACTAGAATTTTATATTAGAATTTAATATAAAAAAAATAAATTATATAAACCTAGGCTTAATTAAGCTTAATAGGGTAGGTATATTATTTAAATAGTAAAAAAACACTGCTTAAATAATAATATTTATTTTTTATATTATTATTAATAAAGTATAAGCCTTTTACTTATACCTAGTAATTAAATAAACCTTTAAGTACTTAAATACTAATACTTTTTAAATTAATACTTTTATTTTTAATAATAATATATATATATTTAATATATATATATAAATTATACTTTATTAATATTTTTTAATAAAAAATACTTATATTTTTATAATATTTTATAAAAAATTATAATATATATTTTTTTATTAAAATATAAAGTTATTATATTATTAAATAATTTATAAAAGTAATAGTTTTTTTTATAATATTATATATATATATATTTATTATTATATATATATATATTTATTATTATATATATATATATTTATTATTATATATACAATAATTAATATAAAAGTATAAGTATTAATATTTTAATTTATATTTATTTAATAATATATATATTATAAAATTATTTAATAATTAAATTTAATAAATTTAATTAAGTAATATAAAAATTACTATATATTTCTTTTAATAAATTAAAGTTTATATATTTATAATATAATTATAATAATATATTATATAATTATTATTTAATAAATATAATAAAAGTAATTTATATATTATAAATAATTATTTATAAGTATTTATAATATTATATATTTAATTTATATATAATATAAATTCTTTTATTTAAACTATAGAAGATTTTTATTTAAACTATAGTAGCCTGTATATTATACTAAATAGCCTGTATACTATAAATTTCTAAAACTACTAAGGTTTTTATATAAGTATAATATAGTTAAATAAATTATAGAAAATATTTAAAAAATATATATAAATAAAATATTATTTAATTTATATAATTTTTTTTTTATATTATTTTTAATTAATTTTTAAGCTAATAAACCTATAAAAACTTTAACTATAAATTTTAATAGCTATATATAAATTAAAATAAATATATTAAAACTTTTTATATAATTTATATAAATAAAAATCTTATATTAAAATTTTAACTTATATAATTAAATAATTAATAAAAAAATACTATTTTAAAATTTTAATTTTTAAACTTAAATATTATAGCTATTTTTAAATATATAAATTAAAAAAATTATTTTTATATAGTTTATTTAATAGAATATATTCTAATATTTTTTAAAATATTTTTTAAAATAATTAATATTTTAGAAAATTCTAACATACAGGCTACTATAGTTTCAATAAAAATCTTTTACAGTCTAAATAAAAAAACTTTATAATATATTATTTTTTTATTATATTATTTTATTATAAAAAAATACTAATTTATAAAGCTATACTACTTAAATAATTTATATAAAACTTATATAAATTAAATATATAAAATCTTATATATTTATTAAGTATTTTATTATTATTAATATTTAAATAAAATTCTTTATTAAAATTTAATAAATTATTATTATTATTATTATTATTATTATTCAATAAATATATTACTAGTATTTTTTTCTATTTTCTATTTATTTTTCCCTTTTACTTTTTGCCCCTCTCCCCCTCCTTCCAGACTCTAATATACCTAGCTAGAACTAGGTGTCTTAAGTAGCTCAATAGTTCAGTCCCAAGGTCAATTACATTTCGTAACCAGATCTTAAGAAAGACAGGCTGCTGATACCCATTACGTTTGTTTATTGACCCAGCAGCATCATTCAAAATGGATTTCTCCAGGTTCAGCAAGAACTTTTCGTCAGTTTATCACTTTCACTCTTCTTTATAGTCGACTCTCTCGAATGCTAATGATTTGATTGCAAATTATGGTAGTGATTTCAGCGCGCAAATAACTCCATTTGCATCACGCACTTTCCAATTTACCAAAGAACAATTAGGACAGGCAGAAGACAGAGTAAGTGATTCGCGATAAGTACATGTTTGTGTTCCAAATCCCACCACTAACCCGCGGATGTTACAGACTCAGCTTCCTGCGGATTATATCGACCTTGAGAAAAAGGTGGATGCTTTGAAACAGGCGCACCAAAGAATGCTTACAGTGACGTCTGTTACTCAACCGGGTTGAATCTATTTAGGCTATGCTAATGCGTGTAATTTAACAGTTCTCAATACACCACTGAAGCCTATGACTACCCTCCCAACATCAAAGAGACGTTCCAAGACCTGGGTCGAACTGTGAGCGAGAAGGTCAGCCTCCTGTCTTCAGCAACATCTACCGCAGAAGCACAGGCAGCTCTTGTGGCTCCCGCCTCTGCGAAGCCACAGCCAAAAACCTTCAGTCATGCCATTTCCCGTGCGAGCTTATCCAGCAGCCAGCTCTTGCATCAACATCATACGGGTGCAGGCGAAGATCCCCTAGCGACGGCTCTGGAGAAATATGCGCTTGCTATGGAACGAGTGGGTGATGCTCGCCTTGCTCAAGATTCACAAATCCAAAGTCGTTTCCTCGCTGGATGGAATACGACTCTCAACACAAATCTTACATTTGCGGCACGCGCCAGGAAGAATGTGGAAAACTCGAGATTGACACTCGATGCTGTTAAAGCTCGTGTTAAGGGAACAACTTTTAAACTTGGCGGCCAATCTCGGGCTGACCATCCGGACGATACTGAACTGAGCTCTGACGCCCAGGAGGAAATCGAGAAAGCAGAAGACGAGTTTGTGACGCAGACGGAGGAGGCAGTTGGCGTTATGAAAAATGTAGGCTTATATATACTACTCCCTATCTGGAGACAGGTCGCAACTAATCTCTTATACACATAGGTTTTGGATACGCCCGAGCCACTCCGCAATCTTGCCGAACTAGTCGCAGCACAAATGGAGTACCATAAGAAGGCGTATGAAATTTTAAGCGAACTTGCGCCAGTTTTGGAGACTCTGCAGACGGAGCAAGAAGTAGGCAGCACTTCCAAATTCTCAGCACTATAACGGGGAGCTGACACTGAGGGCGTTAACTAGGCCAGCTACCGAAGAAATCGCGATATGGCTTGAAGAATACCTGACGCTTTTTAAGTACTGTATGATGGGAGTCAGACGTTCAATTTTGGTGAAACACAGAATTATGTTTTTAAAAATGAGATAACTTGACATTGAAGGTTTTCTTTTTTTCTTTTTTTTTTTTTTTTTTTTATATAAATAATCTACAGTAATTGTAATGGCTGTCAATAATGGGTGGTGCATATATGTATATACTGTAGCTCTCTGTACTAGTGTAAACACCTGGACTAATTTGGATTCGAAATTTGATGAGGCTAAGTATTTGCCTCAAGACAGTCGCGGAAGGAGAGAGGCACAAGGAGTCACTCGGAAATAAGTATTCACCATTCTTCATGAATTTCAAAAATGATTTGCGTGAGAACGAGAGCCACTCTCGAGAGCAATTCTTTCACGCCTTCAAACAGTCTAGCAGCAATGCTCAATTTTCTCTAGCAGGGCTTTCGGAATCTGGTAAAGATCCGAGACTATCAGCAAAACAATTTCCTCATCAAAGGCTAGACTTAGAGGAAGATGAGAAAAGAAAGCTTGGATCCAAGGGTGGACAGCAGAGGTCGAGACTACGGGATGACGACCGGAAAGGACACTTGGATGTAGTGCTGCGTGCGACGGAGCAATTTCTCGCTCAAGGAGAAGTCGCAAAAGCCGCCAAAGCTTTTGGCATTATTCTTCAGCTTAGGCCAAGGACACAATCCATCGATATCCGCCTCCATAATCTCTGGTCTATCGGAGCAGAGATTCTCATGCGGCAGAGGGAGAAGCTGAAAAACTTAGATCAGCATTTACAGTCAGCTCCTGGCCAAAGCGACCATGCTTTTCAGATGGCTGAATCCCAATGGGGTTCTTCTAGCAGCATGAGCGAGATCAAATCGTATTTTGAAATCCTGATACGTCAGTACGCATACGATCACAAATTACCGCACAAGCTCTCAGCGCTTGACTTTTGGCTGGCCTTACTGAGCTGCGAGCTGAGCAATATCTACATGGAGCATGTAGGAGGCATCGCTCGCCAAGAGAAGGAAACAATGCTTCAACATACAGATCCTGCGCATCACTATTCTTTAATGTCGACATCGCCCAGTACGAGCGACTCTGGGCAACCTGATCTTGAAAGCGCTGATTTTGAGCCACGTTATGAATCAAAGGAGGATTGGGCCAAGAGACATAAAGAAGCAATATGCCAGCGCACCCTCAGAGGACTGCAGAATATTAGCCTGAGGATGGAAAAACTTATGGACCAGCTACCATACTCTAAAAATGCACATTTCTTGCAGCTGAAGGAGACGATATCGTTCCTCTCAGCTGACCTTGCATCGTCTCTGGGTATTTCTGGGTTATAATATGAGAGCATCAAAGAATCCCCCAATACAACGCGACTCATACGAATCCAGGACTTTGGACTCATTGCTATGGTCTTATTCTACGGCCTTTGCAAGAAGGTAATTATGAAACTTGACCACTTTGTGAAACAATGTGCTCATCATACCGCATCCTTCCAGGAAGATGAATATGGAATAGTAAGACAACCTTTACATGACCCTCAACTCCGCGTAGGTATATGGAAATCGAGACTTATATTAATGGCAGCAGCTCATTTACTTATTTCATTATTTTGCGGGACTATTTCGAAGCCCAGCGCTGCAGCAACAAGGCGGTATTGGAGCTCCCAACTACGACACACCATTCTCCCCCAGGGCTCCATGACGCCTGTCTACCCACAAAGTTGGCCGATGACGACTCCATCTTATGATGTCGCAACGGCTCATGAGCATCATCCATGCTGTATCTTGTTGCCCATGATTCCAGCGTCTCTGAACTGAACTCGCGAGAATCCGTTTGGTTTATGTACACTGGAGTCGACATGTCTTGGTCACTGTCTGTTGGTCGAAGCTTGCTCGATGCATCTCCTTTTGCACGTGGAATAACAGGTCTCTGCCAGCTTGGCAGTTGTAGTGGCTTGCTCTTGTCCGTGGATTTCGCCAGCTTCGACATGACGTCGCGGTGAGCCGTCAGTCGCTTTAAATCCCAGAAGAAAATGTTACCCGCAGCATTACAAAATGCAAGCACAGGATTTTGATTAGGGACATGATGTAGCTTGAAACGCATGAAGAACTGAGGTCCACAGTTCGGAGTGTGGAATGCCAATAGCCGGGTATATTGGACCGGGCATTGAGGAGATGTTAAAGGGACGAAGGCAGATCGCGTTAGTCGCCCGGGGTCCTCATAGTTTGTTGGCAGTACGTTTTGTGGCGTAGGAGCAGTGCTCTGGGTTGGCAGAGGGTCGTCTGAAGAGAAACCCTCAATCTTCCAGAGCACGATGACATCGTCGTGGCATGCCCTAGATAGGATGAGATCTCCATAAAATGAGACACTAGAATACTGTTAATACTATCGTATACCGCCTCCATGAAATCTTCTTACCAATCGACAATGCCGCTGTGGACTGCAGAAGTTGAAAAATGAGGATAATGAACCTGTAGGGGCGTGGCAATTGGTTCATTGGGGAGATCAGGAATAGTCCACTGCAGATGAGGGAGATTAGCGCTTGTGATGGGGAGTGTGAGTGGTCTCATACTAAATTAATGATCTGGTCGTGACCACCTGATAAAAGATATCGGCCGGTTTCGTGAAAAGCCTGCGAAGAGTTAGGCGAAACTCTCTGAGGTGGCGATGGATCGTTCTTAGGGGCGGAGGCATCTTACTACGCTGAGGAGATTCCACGAATGCCCCTCCCCCGCAAGGATACATAAACATGGCTGGCTCCTGTGCTTTTCTTCAAAACTCCATATCCGTATACTCGTATCATCAGAGGCGGAGGCGATGATGTGAGGATTAACGGGGGAGGTTGCCAAGTCGTTAACGTCCTTTGGTTCAAGTGAGTTAATTGGCCCCAAATGTGAATCGCTGGAGAAAGACGAACCCCGCCATGGCCGACAAAACACTACATCAATGAGACCGTTCAGCTTAGATCCAATGTCTAATGTTTAGAGAGCTGTGACGCGCACCTCGATCAACTGTCCATCAACCACGTCATAAATCTTGACTTTGGCATCCACGCCGCCAATGCAGATATACGGTCTACCGTTCACGGTATCCATCGTCCACGTGCAGCAACAGCTAGCGGCTTCATCCTTGGAACAGCTAAGCCAATTAAGTCCATGATGCGGCAGCGTGGAATTGACCTACATCGTCGTCTCTTATGACGTTGATAACTTGGCAGGGATTAGTTTCATTTGGGTCCTTCGTGAGCCGGCAGATTATCACCTGGTAGAGCGTGTTAGAGAGCCGGTATTCCTTACATACAGATAGAAGCGTCAGAAGGCAAATCTACCGCCGCTCAACTTACATGTTTCTTGCTAATCGCAGCAAAGACGGGCTCATGGTCGAGTGGCTGGTAAGGACAGAATTTGACATCAAAAAACTCTATTTTGTTGTTAGCGAGCTGAATAGTTCATTGCACACACCAGAATGTAGCTGCGTAGGTGGGCTGTGATGCTTGCCTGCAATATTATCATCGCTGCCGAGGAACCTGGTGTCGTTCTGCAATTGAAGAATGCCATGTTAGCCGCTAAAAACGCGAGCGTGGAGCATTGGTGCTCACCTCGAGAGAGAAGGAGGTGCGTAGTTTGGGAAGCTCGAAATTTACATCGTCAATGCTAGCCATCCCGAGCGGTGAGTTCCCACGGTGTCGTCGTTGAAAGAGGAGGCAGAGAAAGAAGAAGTGAAGGAAAGTGAAAGGACGTATATAGTCAGTCTATACGACTGGATATACCATCAGTTACTAGGTAGTAGTGGCCTTTAAACTGGTGAATGCGCAACAATGTCTTCTGCCCCACATCAACTTTGTCAGCAACGCGACACTGTCTTGAAGAGAAAGTATTTGGCACAGCTCATTTAGTCGATATACCTGGGCGAGGTGATATATAAATCGACGTTTGGAAATGTGTTCCATGGATAGTTGAGGCGACTACAATACTAAACCGCGTAGCATCTAGCTAATCCTCCCCTGCTCCTCGCTCAGCTGCCAAATAAGATTTAAGCTCGCCATTAATGATACGTTAGCCAAATGCAGCCCTCTTGCTGGGGAGCCAATCCCGTTTGTGGCCTGGTCCAACTACGTGGCTATTGTAGGTATACGAGACCTAAACCTGACCCGGGTACCAGGGACTGCGAATGTTGGTAGAGGATGGAATGATAAATGTCTTTAGTATTATCAATATTATCAATATTATCAATATAATATTGTATCATGTGCATCCTACACGACCTTAGTTGCCAGTTAACAAGCATCCTACGACACATTGGGTAGCAATAAGTGTACGATTACATAGTATATGTGGCGAGGTAGATCCATCCTGTATCTTGCATACCATATATAGTAATAATAATTAGCTAGCTTCTTCTAGATAGTCTTGCCAAGTTGCAATCGAGTCAGTATGTAGATCATGCTTCCACCCTACTGCGCTCCACGTCTGCAGACGACTTAAATGTCGAATCGTGGGACGTCCATGAGGACAATTCCAGGGCTTGTCCAGCTCGCCCATATGATTAACAAGAGAATGCATCTGATTTCTTGTCATGGCTTTGCCAATCATAATGCTACTTCGACAAGCCCTCATAGCAAGCATCTTTTGCACCTTGGAAGGACGGGGAATGTACGAAGACTCGGCTGATTTATCACCGAGGAGAGATATTAGTTCTTCCAAGTCTTCCAATTTGAACGTGACCTCTCGACTCAGAGGCAATGCCATCAACTGACACCGTGACCCTACAGGGAAGTTTCCTGTCGTATCCATAGTCACTTTAAACCCGTTTGCGTTCAACGCTGAAGAGTTCTCTAGTATAATTTCTTCTTCAAGGGCTGTTAATCTAAGCCGCATGGGATGAACAAGACGTTGAGACTGAATTTCGGTAGTATTCTGAAGCTTCTCGTAGTTGTACTTCTCATCGGAGGCATGCTGGTCGATAATAAAAAGCTCATCATGTTTTTCACCGCTATCCGTGCTCATGCGTCTAGCAGGTTTAACGGCGATAATAAAGCCAAGATTAAACTGGCCGATGATTTTCATCCTAGAAAAATCTCCTTTTGCGATAATAAGAGGGAGTTTTGACTCCGCATCACTGGCATCAATTCGCTCTACAGAGGAAGCACTCTGCGTTGTATAAGTAGACGGAAAGTTACGGCGAGGAGTTTGCGCAGTGCACATCAGCTGGATTTTTTCTCTCTCAATGCGCAAATGCTGTATGAGATTCGCTGTAGCTTCCTTTCGCCTTGCTGGTTTTGAGGCTTGAACCTTGGGTTCTGTAGTGATACCGCCCACACTGATTGTATTGGTTAGAGAGCCATCATTTGCTCGCATAACATGAGATTTGACGCGCTTCTCTACAAGAGATCGTAAATCATGCGGGGAATGATCCTTAAGATCACCATTGTGTATATCTTTGATTTTTTTGGGTACATGCGGAGATGGCTGGACGATAGCTTCAAGATCTAGCTGAGATGGGCTTGAACGACCTGAAGATCTTTTTGCCTGGGTAACTATGGAGGCTTTGAAATGCAGTTTTTCGCTCTCCGGGGATTCGTTCTCCAAATCTGTAGGCTTCGCAAAGCTATTCATTTTCCGTGGAGGGCTTGTTGTAATATGACCCAAGCTGTGGCCGCCCACATCTACCGCGGCAATATCAGACGACTTAATGCTCGAAGAGGTAGAAATTTGCGTAGGGATGATGTAACTGGGGTCGTGTGAAGAAGTATCATGGCTTGGCGTGCTTTGGGAGCTAGATGCGGTTGATGAACCTTTATGTGGAGGTGTACGGTCTACCAAAATATCGGACCTTTGACGAGAAGATCCTGGATCTGGAGACCGTATTACGTTTGCTCTAGTCAATGTCTCGAGGCCATCATCTAGATTCTGTTTCTCCATTTTATTGCCCATAAGACTTGTCTTTACTGGTATTGTGCTTAATGCTGGGACGGTCTCATCATCCTGCTCAGACTCTTCGCTATCTCCGGTGGGATTAGACTCGCCACTCTCATGGCTGGAATTGGGGTCCGATGCAGCAACAGTGTAAGATTCAGGCGCCAATTTGCCGAAAATTTGACGGGGCTGTTCTGTTTTGGTAGCCTTGTTATGAGAAGACAGCAGTTTGACGTTCTCAGCTGACGTGGTAATTGATATACTGTCTTCGTGAGAATCAAAAAGTTGTGAGAGGGAGATACGAAGAGTATCTAGCAAGCTGTTTTGATCATGTAATAAAATAGACCGTTTATCGGGACTGACATTCACGTCATATAGCATGGTGTCTAGCTGAACGTCGGCGAAAATGAAAGGCGATTGTGAGTTGTTGTATGATCGATAGACTTCGTTGAACACTTTGGCCAACTGAGGTAGCGAACAGGGTCGGCCATTCACAAAAAACATTTGACGGTCCGGAGTTTGTCTGCCTTCTCCGTGAACGGGCTTCGAGACATGGCCAACAATACGAACGCCATGGCCATTTGACGTTAATTTTTCGTTAGATCGCGCGTCACGGCGAGTTCCCGAAGGCTTGATCTCCAGGTCAAGCTCAAGAGGAATTAAGGCCGCTAGCGTTTTTGCGCCGAAAATATTGATGATGTTATCACGAGTGCTCGGGTTGCCTTTGGTGGAAAAGAGCAATATTCGTTTCCCTTTTGTAGGTTGCTGGGATACGGAGAATTTCACGTTCGTTTGAATGCACGCATACTGGTTAAGTAGAGCAATAACTTTGTGCCATTCCCTTTTAATATTACGGTCAAGCTCTCGGCGTCGGACAGGCAGGTTGTGAAATAAATTTTCCACGCTGACTGTGGTTCCTCTCTGGGCTGCAACAACGCTGGTGCTCTCCAGCTCTCCAGATTGCCGAAATGTTAGTCTGGAGCCTTTAGGAGCATCTTGTTCCAGGCAAGTTGTCACAGTAAGGATGGATAAGGCGCATAAGGATGCCAATGCTTCACCGCGAAAGCCAAACGTTTGCAGCGACGCTATATCAGAGTACGAAGAAAGCTTTGACGTGTAGTGTTTGAGAGCGACGGAGCTGTAGTTGGCGGGTGCGATTCCAGATCCATTATCTTGAACTTCGATAGAATCGAGACCTTGATTTTTGAAACGAACATCTACAGAGCAGCACAGGTCAATCAAGAGGCGTACATATTTACCGTAGCTGTATTTCACACCGACCTATGATTGTTGCCCCAGAATCAATGCTATTCTCAACAAGTTCTTTGACTACAGAGCACAGGTCAACAATGACCTGTCCCGATTGGATTTGATGGACCTAGAGAGAACTTAGCAGGATGATTTCCCATTCGGCACGAGGTCGCCTACACTACGGCCATCGATCTCTTTGATAGTGGCCATAAGTTCCAGCAGATGCGGATTGTGCAGCTACTAAGCTGTCTCGAGATAGCTCACACGCTATATACACCGTGTACGGCCGAGACACCATGTAAAGTTAATATACATTTCTAGTTTAAGCGAAATAAAAAATAATAATTATTATTATATAATTATTAATATAATAAGGAATATATTATATTTAGTAAATAATTATTATATATATGTGTGTGTACTGTAAAATTTAAATAAAAATTTTACTTTAAATATTATACTTTTAAATATATATTTTCAAATAAACTAGCAACTTATATACTTTATGTATAATACATAAGCTGTTCACTCGCAGTTTGTAAATGATTTTATAATATTACAATTCTAATTTATTAAGAACTATAGTAAACTATAGCTTTTAATCTTATGATGAGTGCCTTTCAAAATATGTCCATTGCCCTTGCACTGGCTGTTCCTCCAAATTGTCCCAGCTGCAGATCGTATTAGCAATGATGAACGATTGTGTATCTAACAATTGAAAGTCGTAGGATGGGATAAGCTTACACCTGGGCCTTTTCCATGGTTTCAATCAACTGTAACTCGCCTTCCGCCACCTCGATGACTTCTTCAATAAGACCGGCTCCAAGCTGTTGCTCAAGCTCTTTGACCCTGCCTCATTTATTAGCTATCTGATAATGCTCAATTATGTTCTTGGCCTTACTGGTCAGCCGTAAGCTGGGGCTCGTCTTCCCACTCAAGCTTTTCGTCATTGAAGTGCTCTACAGCGGGCTCGATGATCTCGTCATTTCTGCCCAATTCGCTCTCGCCATTCCACTCTTCTAGCCGAACATCTCCAGCCTCGTGTTCATTTCCGACAACGAAAATGCGATTGCCAAACTTGAAAGTCCTGGCTCCACTGCCGTCAATTCGATCGCTCGCATCCTCAAATTGATGGGGGTTCTTTCGCATGAGCTCCTTGGCCTTCGCAGCCCACTCTTCGTATCCGGGAGGAGTGAACTTTTCCACTAGGCTCATCCGATGCTTAGTTGTCGCTTCGACAGATTGGCGATATAGGGATGTTTCGGGTATGGATTGCAGCCTGTTCAGCGTTGTGCTATACAGGTATAACAGTGTCGACCGGGGTGTCTTATGAGTCCATAGTCCCGTGAGTCCGGTGGGAGTTCCAGGCTCCAGGTAGCTGGCAAGAGCTCGTAGGGTCGGTCGCATTTTGCGAGAGTCAATGGTAAACCTATGCACCTATGTGAAGCGAAGCACAGTTGAGGTTTAGTATGGCTACTGGCTCGCGGGGAGAAGTTTGAGTGTATATTCAGTAGCTCGTCCGCAGTACCCACATTATTCGGGCAAGTGTAGTAACTGCAAGGCCAAATTATTGCTTAATATACAGCAATAAAAACACATACATAATATTTTAATTAAAATTAATAACATGTAATACAGCTGAATTAAACAGCTGTAATTGATTTTATTAAATATTTAAATATATTTATTTAATATATATTAAATCTAGCTTACTTTAAATATAATATATATAGAATTCTAAAACTTATACTAATATATATATATATTTACTTATATAGCATATAATATATGATTTTTTTTTTATATTTATTGTAGTATTTTGCTTGTAGCTTAAATTTTTTTTCAAGTTGTAAATTAAGTTATGAACCTTTACTAAATGGTACATCGATCGGTTCCCAGAAGTGTGATGCGTCTACCAAGCTAATGTCAGCCTAGCGTTCCGGGGTGCAGCTTCATCATTCAGTTGCGGCGCCAGTCATTCTTTGCTGAAACAACAGCCATTTCTGGATCTACCGTGACACCCGGGGGCAGCAAATCAACAACATGGCGCAAGGGTATGAACGATCAGAAGCACTGAATAGTACTTTGGGCTAATGCAATTGTTTCCTATTCATCTACAGGTATTCCATTTTCATTGGCCTCGTGGTCATCGTTGCGTTAAGCGCAGCGGCTTGGTTTATGTCCCCCAAAGGCGAGAATCAAGTGTCAGTTCTTCACTCCTTACCGAACAACGAACAATTCTGACGGTTTCTTCTTAATAGATTATGGCGATCATCTCTAATTCTTGCTATCGTCAGCTGCTATCTCATGTGGCTTATCACCTTCCTCGCTCAACTCCATCCGCTGATTGCACCAAAACGAAGCGACCTGCGAGAGGAGTTTCTAGGGCACACCATGTAGAGTTAATTTCCAGCTTGGGCGAGCGTGGCTTTAAACATATGCGACAGACTGGCGTTAGGGGTTCTATTCATTCATGGTATCTTGTACTGCTACCAGGCTTCTTTCTGGGTGTTTGCTTCTTACCTTTAAGCCGTCATGGATCGTTAGTGTACGGAGATACTGGCATGGCTTCAGATTGGTCCTGGGTCATATGCATCTCAGATTTTATGACGCGGGCCGATATTTTACGGTGTCGCCGTGTAATAGCAACATGATATGAGCAATATTGGCGCCGTTAATACATATTAAGAACTTTGGTTGTCAATATCGCATTATCCTACGACTAAGCGCCCGGCCCAGTCCCTGGCATACTTTACAAGGGCCCAAAGAGCTTTGCCATCAGCAGCCACACTGCTGTCAGCAATGGAGTCTACGTCACCAAGTCCAGCCGAGATTAATATCAACTGGCCCACAGCCCATCGTACAGACGCGCCGGCAATCGCTAAGAAACAGGCAACATAGTATTTGCAATCGAGTAGGATGCGAAGAGCCTCCACGTTATTTGCCACGACAGCCCAGCCAAGAGACCTGGCAGCAGCGGGTACGTCGTATTCCCAGATAACCATTAAAATTGGAAATAATTTGGTCGAGGAAGAAACAAGTAAAGCTGTTGAAACCGAATTTGGGCGAGAATACCGCGGCATTAATTTCGTCATGTTAAGCGGCGAGAAGACAGATGAAGTGAGAAAGCGGATGCTTAGATGGAAAGCGAAGGTCGACAAAGCACAAAGGATCACTAGATTGCAAGTATTAGACGGCGAAGAGGTAATAACAGGGGGAGTTGCGTACGAAAGAACATATACTGAATCACAATCGGCTGTTCAGCGAGCGGACCCAGTTTACTCTCCCCAGGGGTCGGCGAAGGAATGGTTTGTTTTTCTATACGCGCCCATGTCAAGTAAACATCAAATAGGAGCAGTAAAACTCCTAGGCGAATGATCGAAGGCTTCTCGGACTATTAGTTCTGGAGCGGCGAAGAAAGAAGGGCGCGCGGCTGACGTACGTCGAAGCGATCGCCATCTCGCATCAGAGTATTATGTAGCAGATGACGATATACCTATACCAGAGGTGAGATATGCCATAATCAATAGCCAAAGGCACAGTACCTGAGGTTTGATGAGGACTAAGTCAATGAAGAGCACGACAAAGTCGTGCTCTACATATTTATCGCAGAAGTTGCCACATTTTCGACAGACAGTGAGGCGAATTAAATGCCCATTCGACTTGTCATCGGCCCCGGAATATTGAGTCCATAGAGTTTTGACAGGATATCGGCACTCTATACAAATAGGCATCGGCGCAGTGAAAACTCGCCCAAGTTCGTCATGGATATTATATGTGAGGCAATCTGATCGCAGTACTCGGTATCGTGCGCAAGCTTGTGTCGAAGATAGGTGTATGCTATTGATTTTTTAGCAGTGTTTAAGTTGAGGGAGCGCTCCACGGCTGACGCACCAGTGGGCTTAGGTGTAGAGCTAGAGCTAGTATTATGCCATTGGATTAGGTAGTTACATCTAATTAAAATGTGATGTATCTGAACGAATTTTTTTTTTTGTTTCCCATAAATAAATAATTACACATATTGACATTGTTTTATATTAAACCACGGTTGTTGTAACCGATTGCAAAGAGTGTTAGGACCTGTATATTATTAAAGTCTCATTACTCTAATAGACAATGGCACTTTTTCCCGCTAGGCTGAGTACAACGAAGTACATATAGACACAAGCAAAGGCTGACTACTAGGCCCTTAGTTGCTAGTGCATTAGTTACATTTTCGAAATGACGCGAAACTCTCCCCAAGTCTAGCTGCTCTTTTCGCGATTTTATCCACTTAGTGCTCTGCACCTCGCACTGCTCGCTCTAATTGGACCAGATGATGACGGAATGGGTCGCATTTGGCCGTGACTTTCTGTTTTAATTTCGACTACATTTTCCCGAAGTGTTCATCACCTTGTTCTGGCGTAGCAAAATACAGCCACTCATAGCTTCGGCCTCGTCAAAGGTCCCTCTTCGACCTTTCCCATGAAGAGGCGCTCGCCGTCTATTGATGTCGGTGGTAAATCCTCCCTCGAGCTACAAAATTCAGATGCCGAGCTAGAGCACCGCCTCAATGGCTTAATACCCCGTCAATCCTCGACCCAAGATAGGCAACCGAACGGCCACTATTCGACCAAGGCGAATGGCCACCAGCACCCTTCCAGCCATGCAGCAGTCGCATCCTTTTCACCACTATCGCTCCCTACCTCGTCGCGCAGTATGACCACAACCAAGAAGCCTCCCCTGGTGAGCTTGGGGGCGCGCAATCGCAGCCTTTGGTTCATGTCTGTTCTGTCCTTTTTCGTTGCTACAGCTGGCGTTGGCCTCTTGGTCGCCATCTTTCGGTCCCTCACCACTCGCCAAATTGAGTCGAAAGGATGCCGAATGTCATACATGCGGCCTTCTTACATTCACTTTTCCGAATTTGATACCGAACACACGCGATTTGCAAGCAAATACTCCCTATATCTCTATCGCGAACAGGGAATTGATAGCGGTGAAGTTGGTTCTATACACCCTACTCGAGAAATGAACATATCGAAGCTGACATCATGCGAAAAAGCTGCGTGGAATTCCCGTCCTCTTCATTCCAGGTAATGCTGGAAGTTATAAACAAGTCCGACCAATTGCCGCAGAGGCTGCTAATTATTTCCATGATTATCTTCGGCATGACCACAGCCAGTTGGATTCCGGCATACGAAGCCTCGATTTTTTTACCGTTGATTTCAATGAGGATATAACAGCATTTCACGGCCAAACTCTTCTTGATCAAGCTGAATATCTTAATGAAGCTGTTCGATATATACTTTCACTATATTCCGAGCCGCAGAGAGGCTCCCGCGATTCGCATCTCCCGGACCCTACATCAGTACTTATCCTTGGGCATTCGATGGGAGGAGTTGTTGCAAGAGCAATGCTAGTTCAACCAAATTACCAGGAAAATTCGATTAATACTATAATTACAATGTCAGCACCGCACGCACGCCCCCCCGTTACATTCGACGGTCGAATTGTTCAGATTTATGACGAAATAAATGATTATTGGCGTCGTGCGTATACACAGAAATGGGCCAGCAATAATCCACTATGGCATGTCACATTAGTATCCATTGCTGGCGGGAATCTGGATACTGTTGTGCCGTCCGATTATGCTAGCATCGAGTCACTTGTGCCTGAAACACATGGGTTTACTGTTTTTACGTCAGGCATTCCGACGGTGTGGACAAGTATGGATCATCAAGCCATTCTCTGGTGCGACCAGTTCCGAAAAGTTCTAGCCCAAACTTTGTATGGCGTTATCGACGTACATCGCGCCTCCCAAACGAAACCCCGAGCGCAAAGGATGAGAGTCTTTAAAAAGAAGCTCTTAACTGGCCTGGAGACGATTGCCGAGAAGACTCTATCTCTGAAGGAACCAACAACACTCCTCACTTTAGACGACTCGTCTAGTTCAGTAGTGGCAACGGGGGACCGATTAATTCTCTCGCAACTGGGTTCTGGGGCCAGACCGATAGCTTACCTCCTCCCTGTGCCGCCGCCTGGATCACTCGAGCCCAAGCGCTTTACCCTAATGACCGACGTCCAATTGAATACACATGCAGACAATAATCAGCTGCAGGTCCTCTTGTGCAACGTTTACCCCTTTCAGTTTACGGGAGTCAATTCAATATTTCCATCCACCATAGATCTATCGAGAAATGGGACCACGCCAACAAAGCTAGCTTGTAAGGATGCTGCCTCTGACACGGTCCTTCTTCCAGCTTCAACAACGGATATAGAGGCTCCTTTCTATCTGGACGGACAAACCCAGATATACCCTTTTTCATATCTACAATACGATGCTGAATACCTCTCTGACCATCAGTTTGTCGTTGTCATCGATAGAGCTACAGAAATTAGCAATGGCTTCGTCACTGCGGAGTTCAATGACCACTCTTCTTTTCACAGGAGAGAGGACGTAAGCCTTGTTCGTCTTCTCACATTTGGTCTCTCCTTTCGGCTCTCAGCTGGTCGCCCTCTTGCTACGGCCATTGATATACCGGCTCTCAAGTCAAGTTTGATGGCTTTTAATATGAATATCAACCAACGATGTAACGGAAAGCAACAGTTATTTGCGCCGCTAATCCGTCAACATATTCAAAAACCTTATGAGTCAAAATATTTTGTGAACGCCCAAGTAACTGGAATCAGCTTTCATGGGGTGGCTCCTTACATGCCCCCTCCGTTAACATTATCGAGTGGCGACGGCCTTGCTTTTGACATCTGGTCTGACCCTATGTGTGGTGGTCCTTTAGAGATTGGCCTCTATGTAGATGTGCTGGGAAGCCTCGGAAAGCTATATATGAGATATCGTACAGTCTTTGCGGCCTTTCCGTTGCTCATCGTTACGTTAGTGCTCCGGAAGCAATTTAGTGTTTATAACACGACTGGCACGTTTATTTCGTTTTCTGAAAGCTTGGACCTGTCTATGCGGCAGTCGATTCCACTTCTGCTTTCTTCTTTAACTTTGCTTTCTATTTCCCCCGGAGGAGTTACAACCTTTCTCGCCACGCTTGTGGATAACAACCAGGCCACGTCAAATCTCTCTTCGAACATCGGCTTTCACAAAAATGACCTCCTTGTTGGCACAGACGACCCCTTCTTCATATGCCTTGTACCCCTCATTGGCATCGTATGCATCGGGGTCTGCACTGTTCTCCATTATATCCTCCTGGCGTTGACAAGAATCCTTGGCGTCGCATATACTGTGTTTACAGTGCTGCCTGCAATCAACAGTAACCAAGCTCCAATTCCATCACCGGTATTTGCACCATCAACCCCACGGCGGCGAGTGATTTCGACCATAATTCTATTATTCCTAGTTTCGACTTTCATTCCATATCAATTTGCGTACTTGGTCGCTTGCCTCGTACAAATTCTGACCGTTGTTCGCGCTCTTCGTATATACGTTGTCACGCCTTCAACAGCCAACTCTAACTATTATCACTATTCTCACTCTATCCTTCTGCTAATGATATGGGTTCTCCCGATCAATTTGCCTATTTTAGCGGTATGGGTTCGCAATCTCGCCGTCCATTGGCTCACGCCGTTTTCTTCCCATCATAATGTGCTGTCAATAATGCCTTTCATATTATTGGTAGAGAACTTGACAACAGGGAAAATGGTTCCACAAATAACAAGCGGATTACGCCATATTACCAGCGGGCTCCTTTTTGGTACGGCTCTTTGTGCTGCAATCTATGGCGTTTCCCATGCATACATGCTCCATTACTTGGTTAACGTGGTGGCCGCTTGGCTGGTCATTCTTCACTCTTCTTCAGAGCCATGGTCTTTGATGAGTTTTGGAACTCTTTTTGAAGGAGATACAGATGAGCCGAAACATATCAGTGGTTCACATTGAGTGAATAGTGTCATGCGTGTTCTTTAAAAGGCGTTATTTTAGCTCCTACTGCTTCTATGCCATATAGTTTAATATCAATTATATAGATGACTGTAAAATATCAATATATGTATATATATGTGTGTATATGCATATACATATATATGTATAGAAACAAATATTTAATTTTTTTTTAATATATAAATCATACAAACCAAAATCAATTTAAATTCATAGTTTGTCAAGTTTCAATCATATTCTGTGCTATAGCGCGTCCCAACAACAGCACCTGCTATTATTGAAACTCGCTGTTGTTTTCCTATCAGTAGTCTAAGCCTGTTTTGGACGCTGAGCCATTACATCATATGAACGCGCCTTAGGTATACTAGTCGGTCCGAGGTACTTCCCTTTCAACTTCCCTTCTATTCATCAGCCTTTCTCAATGCCCAACCGCACGGCCTCGTGGCTGCGCTGGATATTCGGAATGGGTGAGCGTCGAAAGTTAGGAGATGTCGCCTTAGACATTGTCCTTTTCGCTGGCATGGTAATGATCGTTTTAGCCGTATTTTTGCCACTGCGCTGACAATACGCCCCAGATGACAGCTGGTCTCTACGTTGCTCGCACGTTTCTGAATCCAATCTTAAGCAACCTAGTCGATCCTGATAAAGAAAAGCATGATCAAGCGAAGCGCCAGGCCAAAGCTCATCTTGATCGCTTAAGTCGGAGGCGACATATTGATGGCATTGGAGACAATGGGGCCGATGGCGCTCGGGGGAGCGCGCGAGTTGAAGAACTAGTCCTGAACGAATACGAAAATCTAATAGCACTGGAAATGGTGGCGCCAGATGATATTCATGTCGGTTTTGATGGTAAGGATTGGATACTCGAAATGCTGAAGATACTCTGCTAATTGGACGCGCGACAACTCAATAGATATCGGCGGTCTGGATATGATTATTGAGGAACTGAAAGAGTCTGTCATCTATCCATTGACAATGCCTCATCTCTACCAGCATGCCGCTTCGCTGTTATCTGCACCATCTGGTGTTTTGCTGTATGGACCGCCTGGTTGCGGTAAGACGATGCTAGCCAAAGCTCTTGCCAAGGAGAGCGGCGCATCATTTATCAATCTTCATATATCAACACTCACCGAAAAGTGGTACGGCGATTCCAACAAGATAGTCAGAGCCGTTTTCTCGTTGGCTCGCAAGATGCAACCGGCGATCGTATTCATCGATGAGATTGATGCCGTTTTAGGCACACGGAGAAGTGGCGAACATGAGGCCAGCGGCATGGTGAAAGCCGAGTAAGTGTTTACCCAAGTTGTACGATGGAGTTGCGTTGATGCGTTGAGAATGTCTGGAATGGATATTGACAAAATCAAAGATTCATGACGCTGTGGGATGGATTGACATCAAGCAACTCTTCTGGCATACCAGCACAGATAGTCGTGCTTGGCGCTACCAACCGCATACACGACATTGATGAAGCAATTCTCCGACGAATGCCCAAGAAGTTCCCCATAACGTTGCCTGCATTGGAACAAAGACGCCGAATCTTACAACTAATCCTGAAAGACGCCAAGGTGGATGCCGAACAGTTTGACTTGGATCATGTGGCTAAACTCACCGCCGGGATGTCGGGAAGTGACATCAAAGAGGCTTGTCGCGATGCTGCTATGGCTCCTGTGCGAGAATATATGCGACAGCATGGCCGTGATGGTTCTAAAAGACCAGTTGATCCAGCTCATTTCCGTGGAATCAGGACTGATGATTTTCTTAAACACTCAAGTGATCAATATTTGATAGATGTGCTTCAACAGCGACAGAACGGGTCTAACAATATTCTAGCAAATGATGCGCTCGCAGAGATTGACGAGACGTTTGTTGAGCCCCAGGACTGAGTCACGAACGAGGTCCATGCAAGCAGCTGCGCCTTATATCACATCGCAAGGAGTAATATCCCCATTTTATTTGCCCGTTACATTTTGCTTTTAGTTGTTGGCGTAGTATTTTCACGCCGGCGAGCGTATACGTCACGAAATCACCCATCGTCTGCTCAAGGTAGCCTTTACAGTGCTTCTGATGTTAAATAGACAGTCAAATAGCGTCCTGGTGTTACTTTCAGGATATATATATATGTATATATATGTATATATATGTATATATATAACGAAATACGTTGTAATTAATACAAATGCCTATTGGGACTTCACCGATATAGTCTCAGGCATATCGTAAGATAGCACATCAGCTAAGCCAAGTCTTTTGTTATTACAGACAGGTAGCGTTTGAGGAACAAACATGCGCATAGCCAGGCTTTGGTTTCACGCCAAACCCTCCTCAAAAATCCTTCTTCATAAATCAAGTACACTCTTATCAATAAGGAAATCAGTATACGCTCTATCCACTAGGATCGATATGAGCACGTGGCCTTTCTGCCATTCCGTCCAAAAGCTCGAGGCTTTGGGCGGCTAGGGGCACCGCCTCTGCGAGTCGCTTCTCTTAGCCCAAGGGCATGTCTAAATTTACATTGCTCATATCTCCGTTAATACCAAAGAATTGGAACCTATAGTTCATTGATTAGCAAGGAAATAAATACCACTTATGCTTTCTGTCTGCATGAGCTTACCAGTCTTCAACATTTAGAGTCGCTGGCGCGGGCTGCCCTTGCGCAGAGCTTGTGCCCCAGCTATCGGGACTCTGGCCATCTTGTAGTCCGCCGTCGAAACCAGCTTGCCACATGTTGGACTGTCCCTGGAATCCAGACATCTGCATGATACCACCCGCTTGGGCGGAACCTCTATACTGATTGGCCTGCATGCCCACCCCTATGCCGCCTCCCGGCATTTGATTCATCGCACTCTGATCTAGACCTTGGTGTGTTTGAGGAGGTGAGAGGTTGGGAAATGCTGGCATGCTTGAACTCTCGGGGAATAGTTGGTCAGGCTGGAAGTTCTCCCAAAGAGATTGTGATATGTTTGGCGAGTTGCGGGTGACCAAATACAAGTCTGGGGGGGTTGCAGGGACGGAAAATGAAGGGTTGAATGGTGTTGCGGGCCTTGTCTGGGGTCGCGAGTTTGTACCGCCCATAAAAGTGTCTGCCCCAGTCTGACGAACATTTGGAGACGTTGCGGACGATCGTTGGTTGGCATTGCCGGCGTTCTCAACTTTGACCGCGCTAGGAGTTTGCGGCCTAGATCTTTCGTACGACTCTTGTGGCGTTGGCGTATTGCTCATAAAGTCGATGGCCATATCGTCGTATTTTCGCTTAGATGCGTCTTGCCTGTTCATCTGCTCAAGCTGGGCCATGCTTTGCTGTATCTTCCGATGTCTTTTGCCCCCTGCTTTTTGTAGTCGCTCTTCCAGGTTCTTGTTGCCAATAATGGATTCAAAAAGAGTATATACCATCTTGCCCACAAGCCAGACACGCGAAACTTCCTTCATGGCCTGCATGCAGCTGCGTACCCTATCCTGCGTTACCTGTTGTATAGATGGTACGGGAGAGCGCATTTGATAAACGTGCATGATTAATGCGGAGAATAAGCTATACACGATGAAGGCAGGACAGTAGCGGAGCTGGTTATGTGCCGCCAAGTTATCAACTATCGAAGTAATCATGGCTGCTGCCTGGAAAGCAATATTTCTTGATGGATATGGGGAATCATTAGGAAAGCGAGGTGAGCCGCTTGGGGGCATATGTGCTCGGTGCAAGAGACACAAAGTTGTATAGTAGTTGGAGTGAAGAAGGGCAGACCAGAAATGATGGCGAGGCATTTCCCAGTAGACAATCTTGGGGCAATTCTGAAGCCAATCCGCCAAGGCCATATCGCTGTGAGTCAGGTCGATAGCATTTCGCTGCCTTCCTTTGGAGGCCACCGAGTACTGCTGTGACAAGACAAGCCCCATAATCTCACAGAGTTTGACGTATTGCAGGAAGAACTGTACATGGATCGGATCTGGTGGGAACTCGCTGCTCCGGTCGGACTCGTCCTCAATGAAGTCATCTTCAGTCAACATCTCAACATCGGAATCGTCAAGATTGATGTGAACAGGGCGGCCAAGAGCAACAGCGACTGATCGATCGCGAGTAAAGAGAGTCCACCAAATGCGCTTCCAGAGCCGCTTGTCAGACTTGCTCAGCTGCGACCGCTCAACGGAACGATGCATGCCTGACCCTTGAGCAACGATGGTGGCAACGCGGCTCCAGTAAAAGACGTTTTTAGTGACATCCTCGGGTCCCTCCCAGTACCATCCCATGAGAAGGAGGGACTGGACGATGGTGACGCGATCATCTTCATAATTAGCGTCATAAAGGGCCTTGGCCCGTTTATAGAAAGTCAGGGCAGCCGGGGTTGTCGAGCCATTTGCGTCCATGAGCTGTGCGTTTTGGCAGACTCTAGAACCAGCCAGAAGAACGGCCTGCAGAAGGAGAAGCGAAGGCGGGTTTTTAGGGTCCCGATATTGCCTCATAAAGCGAGTACGATTGATGACGGGGACAATAGGGTGAACCCATTGGAAATAAGCGTCAATCAGCTCGTCACACAATGACCGCGGGGGTAGTAGAAAGGCGCCGCGCTGGTGAAGAATGTCAATTTCGACATTATCGAGTTCGGTCAGCCTAGCTCGCGAGCCTCTGACATTCTCAGGCAGCGGATAGTGAACCACGTCCGCAGAACCCTGACGGTCGTGCACGAGAAGCGTGAGATTTGATGATTCGCCGAGGTATGCAACACGGCCTGCTTCGGTGATGGGAGCTCGTGTGAACTTGGGCTTCATAACTATATTTAGATAAGTGCCGTTATCGACCTCTTCTTTCCTGGCTTGGGCTTCTGTGAGAGACGTGGGCGGCGTTCCATCTGCGGTATGCGATACGGTAGGAGCTGAAGGCCGTGGGGAATAAGAGGTGGCAGTACTACTGAGAGGCGTCTGTCGTGCTTGCTCATCGGTATTCTCGCCACGGTCACTAGGAGGAAAGAAGCATGTTGGTTAGCATGATGAGAGAGGGATAAGTTGGAGGGAAGCTTGACGACAGCGACACCCACCTGTCGGAATCTTTGCTTGCTTGACCCCCAGCGGTCTGGGTCTTCTTGCGTTTCGGTGTGGGAATGCGGCATTCGATCTGAAAGGCAACGCAGTTGGTGCAAGGCACCCCAAGGCTGGCTGCGTCGCATCGAACCTGAACACGGGGACCGGGTTAGCCCGCCAAAGAATCCACGCAGAAGAGCGCATACTTTGCGGCAGAAATCGAGTACATACCTTTCGGGCGTGACATGTCTATCAAGTCAAAAGATGATGCACTAGTGGTTAGCACGATTACATTACATGTATATTGCTATCAACAAGTGGGAGTGGTCAGTCAGCGGACCCGCCGCTGAATGCCTCGGCATGTCGAGGAGTGAGGATTATTAGATTATGCGACCTGCAAGATACTACATACCTCGCATGCTCGTGACGCTCGTTGCCTATAACAATCAAGTGGGTTAGACATCTGCGCTCCAGCAGTGGTATCACCACATGGCGGTCTCCATACCTCCTGAAGCTCATCTGGCCGGCTGCTGCTGCTGCTGCTCCGGCTGCTGCGGCGTTCATGGCACCACCAGACATTGGAGATGACTTGGATGGCGGTTGCGGCTGCGATTGCTGCGGGCTCGCTGGCGTCGCCTCGTCGCTAGCAGATATTTCGACGTCCATGGTGTGGCTTGATCGGCGACGGTCGCTGCCACAATAAGATTCGAGAAAGCGAGGGTTCGTGAGTTGGCGCTCGGGACAGGAAGCAGAGAGGGGCGATGGAAGGAGGAGGCGAACAACCTCCTCCCCGGTACGAAGTCGATATCAAGCTTCAGCGGCGCAAATGGATGGGAATTTGGATATCAGAGCTCATCCGCAGCCAAAACAGAGCCGTGTATTGGAGATGAGGCCGCAGAAAGGATCTCGCTTGCTGTATGCTTGGACAACAGGATCAAACAAGCAAGGCGAGCGGGCATGCTATGTGTGGCCTTCGTTCAGCGTAATCGGCGCCTGGGCAAAGGTCAAATCCGGTTTGTTGCGTTGCTGCTCGTGGCTGATGCGATGCTGAAATAACAGAGCACAGGCCTAATCGACGAGGAGTACGTATCGACAAGTCTGAGACGCCCTCATCAAACGTGAGATCTGGAAGCTGGTGAGCGACGCTTGATCTTAGTAAAACATGAAGCGCGCCCTGCCTCGGCTTTTACCAAGCATTTGCTCCTCGCAGCCCGGAGTAGCAGTACTTTGAAGTACTATTTCTAGGCTATCAGTCTACCTATTTCAGGTATCCAGCCATTAGCGCAACCACAGCTGTATGTGCTCCGTTCCTGAGTACCTCCGATGCCTTTGCCTATAGTCGGAGGTACAAGTACATGCGGCATGGACTTTACTACTAGGTACTAGGCAGTAGCTCGTGAGTCGCTACTCCGTACTGCACCAAAGCCAGGTGCTCCTGCTAAAGCTCTGGAGCATATTGTAGGCTCTATGGAATATTGAATGTCATTATACATTTGTTTCTATTTCTACTTCTGCTATACAGCCTTAATCTACACGCTCCATTAATGATTTTATTACTCTAGCATAAAACTTAGACGCTTGATGTCGAGGGAATGTGATCTCTTCTGTTAGGTAGTCTGGGAGTACGTCTATCAAGTCCCCGTCGCGAGACTCGTCCAGCTGCGGTCGATATGCAAATTGTGCATCTTCGTAACTGTCGGCGGCCTCTAGATCTTCCAGGGCAAGTTTGAAATGGAGAGCTAGTGGACGGTCAACATCAAATCTCAATTCTCCAATAGTTCAGTGGTCTTGACTTACTCCCGTTCCGTCCAGTTTGTATGCAGTCGAAAACGTCGTCTTTATCAACGCGACGCACATCCCTGACGAGAAGGCCTGTCAAATCAGCATACAGCTCCTCCTTGATTTGTGCAGCTAGATTATTCTCCCCCAGAGCCGTCCGATTTCCAGCTGCAGGCCCTTTACTGTTCGGTTCGACATGTCTACTCGCTGCCAGTTTTGAGTAAAGAGTCTTCATCTCGGATTTTGCTTGGGCTAGAGACTGATCAGTCTCTGACAACTGGGTACACAAAGCATCCACCTCAGCCTTGCTGGCGCTTAGCTGTGACTGTAACTGCTCCGCTTGCTGGATTTGCTTGGACTGCTCAGCTATCTCTTCCTTGAGCTGTGCTATCAATTCATCGGCCACTATTAACCACAGCATATTAGCGACAATGTGTAATTGGTAGTATCTGTGCTGGTGAACCTGGTAGCGCCTCACCTCTCGTGTTTTCATTGGTCTGGGTCTTTAGGAGCTCGAAATTCCGCTCTGCTTTCTTTACAGCCAGCTCGTGAAGATCATGGAACCTCTTTTCCAGTTTTGAGTATTTCTGCTGTAGTTCGGAAAGTTGCCGCTGGGTATCATCTTCATCTGAGTCTTGATTTTTTGAGCCTCTTCTGCCGTCGTTGCCTCCAGAATTAGGCGCTGAGGTGTGTTCATCTACCTGAGCCGAAGAGCTATTCGTATTATTGCGATCTCTTGACACTCTCCGCCGCCGCCGTGGTGGCTTGGACGCGTCAGGCTGGGCCAGGGTATTGGTCTCGTCGTCTATTCCTGACACAATGCTGCTGTCTGGGGACATGGTGATATCCGGTTCGCTCTTATCATTTCGGAATCGCTTCGCGGACGTTGACGCGACAGATTTCGTTTTCGCGTTGGCTCGACGGGGTCCATTCCGCGACCGCTTCGTCACTCTGTTCGCCGCCGCCGGCCGATCGCGCATCGTTTCTGTATTGAGTTATAAAATAATATCGGTCAATGCAAGCTGTATAATGAGAAATTGGATATCTTTTTTTTCTAGAATATAGTAATTCTTAGATGCGCCAAAGAACATCTGGTAGGCGCTGTTTGGAGATGAAAGCTGCTTTAACTGGCGAGTATTGCTACTACCTTAGTAGTACTTTGGAGCGCTACTACTACCTAGGTACCTGTAGGTTGTACTGCCTATTAGAGCCTGTGGCTAGGCCATGTTGACCCATTGGCATGGAATGCAAAGGGACCTAACAGCTTGAGCTTGATGGAAACCCCATAGAAGAGATTGAATAGCTTTGTGAATTCAACTCAAATTTCATATAATGTTCCATTCGCGCTGAATTTCAAATACCATTCTTTCATTTTCTTTCATTTTTTCTCCTCACAAAGAATATCGAGTTTCCTAAAATGGCATTTTGGCATTCTCTTAAGCGTTCGCACCCATATTCAGACTTCTTATCCCTGGTTCTCAAGTATCATATAATAACCGACTTATATATCAGTGCCTAGCTTGTCTACCAGCGTTTTCCGCAAAATTAGACATAGATAACGTGCTTATAAATGAAATAGTTCTAATCTTTAAATACGCATACATGCAAAGTACTCCGTAACCAGATATAGACTGGTAGTTTGCTTGCTTAAATTCTATCCTTATCGCTTTATGCTAAAATCGTCATCTGTTTTACTTCCAATGGATGACGAGGAAACCTGTGAATCAAATATGTTAGGGCGTGGAGTGTCCTCAGCACCTGGAGTATTCATCAACTCTATCAAATCTCCAATATCCTGTCCACCTGAGCTCCCCGGTCGTGGTGTGTTGCCAATCAACGGAGCCATGTGGCGTTTAGACCAAGCAGTTCGAAGCCAGGTCTCAACTGCTGACGCAGCTTTGTCGAGGCTATTATTCTGATAAAGAGGCGACGTCGTATCCCCCCCTTCTTCGAAAGAGCCCTCTACGATCCCTGCAAGATCGCGATCGAATCCAATCCGCGCCATCTCTGACCCCATTACTGACATGGACGGTAAATCGTCCATGTGAAGGCCGGGGAGATGTTTCCTGGCCCACGAATTAAAGTAGTCTTTGTCCGGACCGGGAGCTCGAACATTTCTACCCATGGAGCCGACGCCGCCAGGGCGGCGCATCCAAGCAGGCCTCGCACCTATCGCATCATCATCTCCATGGCTGTGAGTAGATTGGCGTCTTTCGAGTAGTGGTGGCCGGTCGCCTATCGAGCTCTGCCGTCTAGATAATGGCCGTTCCACCTGATCTGCACTATAGGTCGAAGTCTCAAGGCTCTGCCGTGGCGATGATGAAAGAGACACTGTCCTGCCAGTCTTTTTTCTCCGTGGTGGGAAGTAGCCCATTTTCTGACGTGCGATGCGCCCAATTTCCACTGGCTCTGACAGCGAGTCTATCTTGACCCATTTGACGTGCGACCAGGGCATAGCCTCCCTCTGTGTATTTTCATCCTCCTGTCCGGCTCTTTCGCTGAATGATTTGGGATAGCTAGAAGAGGTGGTTTCCGGTGTCACTGCTCCGGTTATCGCCGATGACGTTTCTAGAGGGAGTTCTGTACCATTATGGTGTTGATTGCTGAGCGGCGGGTCGCAAGGACGTCCCCGTACTTCGCAGGCATCGACTGGAATAATGACCCATTTTCGGATTTGTATGCTGTCCCTGGACCAAAGCCCATTCGCCTTCCTAAACGCATCCTCCAAGCACTTATATCGGAGGATAATTCCGGCATATGTATCGGTTGGCAGAATTTTATGAATGTATACAAGATATTCTTCCGGCTGAGAGTTCTCTGAGGTAATTTCGTCTGACGTTCGGCGCTTATACCTTCCTGAGATATCTATTCCTCCACCAAACCCTTGACTGTTTTCCAGAACACTAGCTCTTTTGGCAGTTTTCAGTGCGGCCTCTCGCTGATCTGATGACCCAGTGGCAATTCTGTTGGTTGCCCTTTGGCTGGGTAAGATAGAGGAGCCCATTGCCTTGAAACTCGTGCTGGCGTTGCCGCCGACGCTTGACGGGATTCGGTTCCAAAGGGACGAGGCAAAATTGTCCTCCGGTTGAGGATGCGATCGCTGCTGAGCCATGTCGCCTGGGTTCTCGGCGACAGAGAGAAGAGAGGCAGCGAGCCCTTGGACTGATGACCAGCTCTGCGCCCAGGAGCCACCAAAGACCTGTCCCAGACCGGGCGGACTTTGTTTGCCTTTAGCATTCTGGGCCGACCTTGGGGCCGGAGGTGTGATTTCGTCATGGTTTTCTAGCAGGCTTTCGGAGTTGGTACGACTGCTGCCATTGTTAGGAAGACGGCGATTGCGCGACCGAACCGACCGAGAACCCGTGGTTCCAGCCAAGGGCCCCTGAGAGGATGAGGATTGGTGCGGCGACGATATTCCAGGAACATTGCGGTTGGCCATAGTGACCACCAATGGTCGAGGGTAGCTCTCGAGTTGGACAAAGGCTGCTCATCAGTGTCTGGCTACAGTGGCAAGACTCGATCCTTCGTCGTAGCGGAGTGTCATGGGTCGCCTGCGGACCCGGGAGTCAGTGGTTAATTAAACCCCAAGGACCTCGCGAAGATCTCTATCTCGGAGCCGTCTGGCTTCTTTTCCGTCATAGGGAATAGGGGAAAAGAGAGTTGCTAGGCTAACACTCCGTGTATACATCTCTACAGAGCAATAGAGAGACAGTCTCCTTCTGTCGCAGCTCTTGGCCACGCACACGTTATACTAGAACTAGCACGGCCCCCCCACCATCTGATGAGACAGCATACATTCGCATACATTCCGGGCAGGTACCAAGTACATGCATGGCTGCCCCATGCTGTGCGCTAGTATGCTGCGGCGATGCCTGCTGGTGTATCGACTGAGATTCACACTCCTAGCACCTACTAACCTACTAGCAGTCGTAGTACTAGTGGCACCGACCCTAAGAATAGGTACCTAGGATGGTGCATGTGCACTGGAAGGTGACTGTACCCCCAGTGCTAAATGCCACAAACGCGTACCGCCTACTTTGCAGGTACCTGCCACCCCAGTAAGCGGATATCGCAGGGCCGCGAAATTTAGAGATCGATCCAACGCGACGCAGCTCATGCAAGCATCCATCTGGCTGTGTGCCTTAATTCGTTCGCTCTTTTAAACACAGCAGCCCACAATGGATTCCTTCATGCTTCAAGATGACGGCGTGCGTGACCGTATTCGCCAAGCAGAGGAGTTTTTGGTTCCCAGTATGAATGAAGAGCATCCCTTCTAGTGTTTGCACTTTCGCTAATCTTGTTCAAGACGATCCTCATGCTCGAAGTTATAGAGCGGACATCATCTTGATGTTACGCAAGAACCAGCGCCGCCTTACCGTCAACATAGACCACGTCCGAGATCACAACCCGGAATTAGCACAAGAAATACTTCAGAAGCCGTTCGACTGCACTCTTGCTTTCAACCATGCTCTCAAAGAGATCGTGCAAACGCTGCCTCAAGCCAGGCCTGACCAAACGGCGAGGGATACCGTTTACTACTGCGCGTGGGCTGGAAATTTTGGTCTCAATGCGTGTAACCCCCGCACACTGTCATCTCAGCACTTGAATCATATGGTCTCTGTTGAGGGCATTGTGACTAGATGCTCTCTCATTCGGCCCAAAGTCGTACGAAGCGTTCACTACAACGAGGTCAAAGACAAATTTCATTTTCGCGAATATCAAGACCAGACTATGACCAACGGGGTAACCACTTCCAGCGTCTATCCACAAGAAGACGATGATGGAAACCCTCTTACTACGGAATATGGATTCTGCACATATCGTGATCACCAGACAATCTCGATTCAGGAGATGCCTGAACGAGCGCCCGCCGGCCAGCTTCCTCGAGGCGTTGACGTCATTCTAGATGATGATTTGGTTGACCAGGTAAAGCCTGGCGACAGGATCCAACTTGTCGGCATCTTCCGTACCCTGGGCAACAGGAACGCCAATCACAACAGCGCGTTATTCAAGACAGTTGTTCTGGCCAATAACGTAGTCCTTTTATCGTCCAAATCCAGTGGTGGGCTGGCCACTGCGTCGATTACTGATACAGATATCCGAAATATCAACAAAGTTGCCAAAAAGAAGGATCTTCTGGGGCTTCTCTCACAATCTCTCGCTCCGAGTATTTACGGCCATGATTACGTCAAAAAGGCCATTTTGCTCATGCTTCTAGGAGGAGTAGAGAAGAACCTCGAGAATGGCACTCACTTGAGAGGAGATATCAACATCTTGATGGTTGGCGATCCCTCTACTGCCAAATCTCAGCTCTTACGATTTGTCCTGAACACAGCACCGCTAGCTATCGCCACCACAGGTCGTGGCTCTTCCGGCGTCGGTTTGACGGCAGCCGTCACTACTGATAAGGAAACAGGAGAGCGGAAACTGGAGGCAGGTGCCATGGTCATGGCTGACCGAGGAGTTGTCTGCATTGATGAATTTGACAAAATGTCAGATATTGACCGAGTGGCTATCCACGAAGTCATGGAACAGCAGACGGTTACCATTGCTAAGGCGGGTATTCATACTTCATTAAATGCCCGATGCTCTGTTATCGCAGCTGCCAATCCGATCTTTGGGCAGTATGATCCTCACAAAGACCCTCACAGGAATATTGCACTCCCAGATTCCCTGTTGTCACGTTTCGATTTGCTCTTTGTCGTCACTGATGACATTGAAGATGCCAGAGACAGGCAAGTTTCTGAGCATGTATTACGCATGCACAGGTATCGCCAAGCGGGTAGTGAAGAGGGCGCGCCTGTTCGTGAACAAGTCTCTCAGTCGCTAGGCGTCTCTGCAAACACTCAGGCTGGTTCCCAACAATCAACAGACGTTTATGAGAAGTACGACGCGATGCTGCACTCAGGCGTAACCCGAACATTGGGCCGAGGGTCTAACAAAAAAATCGAGATTCTTAGCATACCTTTTATGAAGAAGTATATCCAATATGCTAAGCGAATCAAGCCTGTCCTGACTCAGGAAGCATCAGATCGGATTGCCGACATATATGTTGGTCTTCGGAATGATGAGATGGAAGGAAACCAGAGACGGACAAGTCCACTCACAGTCCGTAGTCTGGAGACAATCATTCGATTAGCCACTGCCCACGCCAAGTCACGACTCTCAAGTCGAGTGGAGGAACGAGATGCGGTTGCTGCAGAGGGTATCTTGCGATTTGCGCTCTTCAAAGAAATCGTAGAGGATAACTCGCGGAGAAAGCGCAGGCGTACACAAGTCACTGGCCTGGCCTCATCTAGTGATGACAGCGATGAGGATGACAGCGACGACGGAGACGACGAGCAAAGCCAACAGACCAGCCAGCCGAACGGAAGCAATTCTCGAAGTTCCACTGCGCGTATGCAAACTAGAACTTCTTCGAGGCTTAATGGAACAAATGGATCTACAGGCCAAAACTCAAATGGCTCATCCCAAGCACGGGGAGCGGCCACGACCTCAAGCAATAGCTCTCATCCATCTCACGAAATGGTGGATACGCAAAGCTCCTTCGCGTCAACGCTGCCTGCATCTCAGGTCTTATCCCCGACTCAAGGAGAAGTAGAAGATGAAAATTTAGCTAGTGCTGCCAGCAACTTGGAGATCGAAGAAGCTACCCTCTCACCCCAGCGACTGTCAACTTTCAGGACCAACCTTGGCCAGTTGCTCAATACTGACATTTTCGAGGATGACTCAGCCCCTCTCGCTGCGGTAATCAACGCCATCAACAATAGAATTGGTAACGTCGAAGGAGGTGCCTTTAGCAGACCAGAAGCAATTTTGGCGCTGAAGAAATTGGAAGAAGCAAATCATATCATGTGAGTTTAAAATAACCAGCTGCTATAATCAGGATTTCTAGCTAACCAAGGCAACAGGTTTGGCGATGGTGATGTTATTTACAAGATATAAGATCGATTGGCGAGGGCTTTGCCGGTGTTTAGGATGGATTTGGGAGCTAATTGGACTGGAGGGAACGAATATGGTGATGATATGTCAGGAAAGTAACGAGGTAGAAAAAAAAATAAGCCTAGAGCAATCATGAGTCACAAGTTGATGAGAATAAAATAAATAATGATGGTATATAATCTATGATTTAAAGTCTTTCCTCAAACTTGCGCAGTCGGTCTATTACAATGCATCCATTCCAAGTCTCAGTGCTGTCGTCCTGTCGATCAAGTGTTGGCATGCCAACTTGTTCTACGGCAAAACTGGCCGCCACGGATCCCCACACAGCGGCTTCTTCGTAGCTCTTCCCTCGAGCTAAAGCCACGGATAGAGCCCCGAGGAATGTGTTCCCACCGCCTGTAGGATCAACAACACTATCTTTATCCGTATGGTAAGCTGGGATCCATCGCTCTACTCCAGGATCGACTTCGATTTCTTCCCGGGCGATTGACCCATCTTCGTCGCAGACGAGATCAGCCAGCAGAGCTGTCATGTCGATATCGGGTCGTAAACCACCTCTAGTATAATTCTTTTTCCGTGTCGATTTGGAGCTTTGTCCGGGCCGGCGTTTCCTGCCGCCATTCTTGACAACATAGCAGCCCTTGTGAGCGGCTCGCACGACGATTGCGAAGGATTGGAGAGGCATGCTATCGAGAAGCTGCTCGCAAGCGCGCTCGACAGCTCGAACGGAGATGTCTCCGGTTACTGGGTCCAGGCCATCGTCGCCCATGAAGCCGGCAAGCTCGCTGTGATTTGGGCTGCAGACGTCTACAAGCGGCAGAGTGTTTGTAAGGTTGAGAAGCTGGTCCGGGTTGCATAGATCAGGCACTGGCTCCCACACGAAGATTGGTTTGGTATACGTGTCCGAGGTAGAAGCTTCTTTGCGGCGAGAGATTATAGTGGTCACTAGCTCTTGGCAGCGAGTCGGGGAGCAGACGAGATGGAACGACTTGGACTGGAGCTGCTCTGGTGACAGATCGTCGCTCGTGAGGCGTTTCTTGGGGGTCAAATACTTGAACTCGCGCTTGTCGTCGGCGCCGCCGTAGCCATTCCAGCCTCGGGTGGTAAGCCGCTCTGGATCATGGCGTATGACAGCGGAAGTCTCCCAGCTATCGATCAGAGTGGTGACTGAAGGTGGGAAGTCGGAGCCTTGGTCAACGATCCATCCTACCGTGGAGGAGAGCGGCGGAGGTGAGAACAGGCGAGCGCCAAGGGCAGCGAAAGAGCCGCCCCCGCCAAGGACGTCCTTCTGGGGAGGCTTTGGATCAGGAAAATCGATATCATCTTGACAAACGAATCGCATGGACACGGCGGTCGGTCAGCCCCAAGCTCTTAGAGGCTAACAGGGCCGTAGCGGGAGCGCCTCACCGATAATGAGCATGCCAAAAGTAACAAAGTCTATGCCGGCATGATGCTCCGATTCCTGCTCGGATTCCGCCTTGGGGTCTGCATCTGCATCTGCATGAGAGCCCATGGCACAGAGTGGGAATTTGTGATCTTTTTTTTTTTTTTTTTTGCAGAGTTGAGGATCAGAGTTGCCCAGCCGCGTCTGGCACACAGGCTGTCATGTTTATCGGGCGGCAGTGACCTGATTCACCTGCAGGCACTAAGGTGTAAAGTACAGAGTACAACTCGACGGGAAATAGCCACTCCCTAGTCTTTGGTAGCTGCTACATGAAACTGACGGGCGTTCATGCATGCTACGCGATAAGGGAGATTAGCGTCTAATCGCCCGAGTGCAGACGAAGTTTACCAGACCTCAATGCATTGTGAGGAAATACTAAGTCACTGCAGTTATACCTTCTGGGGTATTTTCTTATCTTAAGGCTCGAAGCGGCCTCAATTGGTTAAAATCGCTGTGCTGTGCTCTAAAAAACAACAGTTTTATAACACGTCTCCCCCTGGGATTGGTGTTTCAGCTATAGCAGTATGTATGGAGTTAAGTAATAAGTGGTGGCTCCCTTTGAATTCGGCCTCGGCACATGTAAAATGCTACCTAGTATATCCGCAGTCTCTAAATAGTTAAAGAAAAAACAAAATAACCCTCGCAGAAAGCATCCCTATATTTTCCTTTATCTCTATATACCTATTATATGCGGCGCATTAAGAAAGGGTCTATGAAGAAACTTCGCCGACACATATATGTGTATACATAACAACAAATCTACAGCTTGGCCTTGGGGGGCTCCAGAGTAGGGACCAGCAGGTCTCGCATCTCACCGGCAGCCTCGTTAAGATAGTAGCTCATCCGCTCGCTTCCAAGTCCCTTTGATACTACGTTGAAGTTGATGCTGTGATAACTGTCAGCGTGGTTCACTTTAAAAAATAATGGCATGGAGTGTCAGTGTCTCTTACCTGTTCTCATTGATCATGTATGCAATGCCAAATCCACCGTCAATCACCTGACTCCAGCCATAGCCGTTGAAGAACTCTGAGCTAAGCTGTGAAGTGGACAGGTACCAGGATGAAGAGTAGCCGTATGCGGGATCCTTGTAGATCGCCGGGAGCTCTTCACCAGGCCCAATGAGCTTCTTGAGTCCAAAGAGATGTCTATCAACACCTTTACCGTCTAAAGCAGCCGAGATATACTCGATATGAGCTGCAATGGCTTTGCGGAAAAGGTCAACTCGGGCCTTATCCTCGACCGCGGGATCCGACATGGATGTGCACCAAGCAACTGATTCATCGGAAACGCTGCGGCAAGTCTCAGTACGTCCCAGCTGGAAACGTCGGGTAGCGGCCGATTCATATGTGGGTCGATTCTTGCCGTACATCTTGTAGTAGGCAAGCTGAATGATCATCTGCACGTATGCGTCTGGTGAGCACTTGAACTTTTTAATGAGACCCTTTCCGTAGGCCTGGTACGCTTGGACAGCAAGCTGGTGTTGTCCAATGACGTTGTTGAAGTCGGTAACAGCGCGGTCGATCTCGCTCTGGACCTTGGGCGTGATCTCGAACTTGATAGGCTGGGGTTCAGGCAAGTCAGATCGAACGTTGGGGTCTGAGAAGTCGATCTTGTTTCCGAAAATAAGATCGTTAACGTAGTCGTTCAGGCGGTGCGTCGGCGTACCGTCCATCATGGAGTGCTCTCCCATAAAGCCCGATGTACCGTTATCATTGATAATGAACTGAAGAGGCTTGTCATACCAACGATTGGCGCCATCACCGTGCCAGTACTGGCGAGCACGCTCTTCTAATGTGACGGGGGATGCGTCGTCTAAGCAGACCACGAATGAAGCAGACTCAATGGCCTCCAAAGCAGCCTTATTCTTAGGGCTTTCTTGGATCAGCACTTCACGAGCATCTGCCCAGACATCTCGGTTTTCTGAGGTCAGCGCTCCCACGGGTGATACCCGTTGAGCGATTTGGTAAATGCGGTTGAACTGGTGCTCGAGCTCTGATGTGTTGAGTTGCTTGCCGGCAACCTCATGCTCGACCTTGAAGAATTGGTTCTTGCGAATGACCACAATGTGCTTGTTTTCAGTATGGGAGAACTTGACAGGATAGTCGGCGGGGCGGGCAGCGACGCGGCTCGCGTTGAACATCCACTTGTAACTATCCATGCAAATGGGCAGCTTCTTCATGTATTCAGGCTCGAGGCTGCCGCTGTCCACAAGCTTCTTGAATTCCAGCGCACTGCTGGTGATTGCTGCAGCTCGCTTGGCAGGGTTGCGTCGCTTGGGGTCGTCTCTGTGTGAATAGAAGTAGCTGACATATGGCACCACCGGGTCTCGGTAACTCAGATATGCGGCGTCATTCCACCACTCGTACATCCAGTTCTTTGTCTTGGGGTCTTGAGCCTTTTCAACGAGCTTTTGCTGGAGCTTGCTTCCAACTCCGCCCGGCTTGATGAATTCAGCAACTGCGGCTTTGCTTTGCTCGAGCTCGGTAGTCGAGATGATAGGATGTAAACTCTTGAGGTATCTCTTGGCAGTCTCTTCAAGGGTTGGGACTGGAAGGCGGGGAAGAGAGTCTTGGAATCTCAGCATAGCACCCTTTGACTTGTCTTCGACATAGCCTGTCACAGAATAATGGTATTAGCCCGGGCAAAACATTAGGTGAGCGGCACAAGACTCGGCTGTTCGACCAAGAAAGTCACGATGCAAGATATCTTTATCACTTTATACGCGGGAGAACATACCGGCAGGGAGAGAGCTGCTGTTGCGTTTAGGCGCCATGGCGATGCGATGGGACTGCTGTGGGCGAGCATGTAGATTAGCAACAGGCTCAAAGTGCAACGAACAGAGCGAGACGAGCATCTTACAGAAGAAAGCGCAACCCGTCGAAAGGTGTTTGTCGGTCTGGACGAACGTATGGCTGACAACATGGCAAATGGAGGAGACAAGGGGGGAAGCAGCGTGGTTGAGGTTGGCAGTGTGTTTATATCGGCTGCGAGTGATCCGCCCAGATACCGCGGCTCATGGAACTCGTTGCCGCAGAATAGCGCAAGGTAGGATTGGCCGTTGCCGATACCGAGTATGCGTTCAAGGCCAGAAGAAGCGTCGGGTATTATCGAGTGGCTGACCTAGCTTGCATAACGCAAAAACAGCAGAGATATTTGGAGATCGAGGGGAATTGCAGGAGACGGGCAATGGAGCCGCGGGAATCATATAAAATACATCTCGTGAAATGCGACCAAGACATCTGGAGCGATGCGCATACAGCGGCCACATGCCACATGCAGGAAATAACGCTGAGCTAGGCCGCCGCTTACCGCTATCGGGACTTCAACCCCACTGGACCCCGGATGTGGCGAGCCGAGGTAAATTTCCTTGTTACCGAAAGTTGCGTAGAGCACGGATAGCAGGAGGGCGCTATCGATACCGCTACGGGGCAAGGGATGAGGTACATGTAAATGTAAGTGCATAAGGTGAGTACTACGTATCATCTGCAGCTGAGGTCTGGAATCCTGATTCGGTATCAGATCCATGTGCAATGCCGCCGGGATCAAGCGTGGCTCATTAGCCAGAACGAGTATATAGATCTAGCAGTAGTACTGTAGTAGGATCAGATCAGGCGGCCAGCCCTCTCGTTAAGTGTTCTCCGTTGATACATACCTATGCTCTGAACACACATCTCTACAAAGCTTCTCAAGTTAAGACATACTGCCACGGCGTATCGGCTGACCGCTTACTTCAACAGGAAGTCCTTATGATGCGGAGGCTAATTGGGCACATCCTTGTCGCTGTACACTGCTAGTACCAGCGATTTGTATGGGCTACATCAGTATCTCTGTTATAAGCAAGTCACACGCGCCAACACCAACTCCGTAATGCGGAGCAGAGTGCAAAGTATGGCGCAGATCGCTGGCTGCTGCGCACTGTTAGATAGCTCATCGCCATCAGCAACTTGCACCTATCACTCCCGGACTGGCTGCCGATATTTGTAGCAAAGGCCAGATAACGCACCAGCTTCTCCTGGGGTGTCTACGGATCTCGTTTTCACTTGACCATGATCTATCTCCCTTAACGTCACTGCCCACCTCATGTACTGATTTTATATACCGGCCGCTCCCAAAATTTGGCTCAGGGGCGTCCCGAGCCTGTCTCAAGTCGAGCCTCGTTGCCCTTGTCGCGCATGCGATTATAAGATACATACGATATCTCGTCACGTTCTCACGTAATCCCGATAAAGAATCCATTTTAAGGGCCACCTATTCATTCTTCTGCTTCGCGCCACTCCCTCTGTACTATTTTTCAAAGAAGCTTGAGAAGATGCATCAAGACCAAGATGCACGCCGTGGGCGGCTTATCGCCTCGGTCGCTGCAACTGTCATCTCCCTGGCCTGCGGCACAAACGTGAGATACCATTTCCCGTGATTCTGCATCCTCGCAAAAACTGTCCACACATCTCCCTCCGCCCTCAACTGAAGATGAATAGCGTCAGCTGATCTGATACAATCATACAGTATGTCTATTCTGCGTGGGCGCCACAGTTCGCCGAAAAGCTCAGGCTTTCCACCACAGAGAGCAACCTGATCGGTCTGTTCGGCAACCTGGGCATGTATACAATGGGTGTCCCCATTGGCATGTTTGTGGACGATCGCGGATCGAGGCCTGCTGTTCTTGCCGGAGCTTTCCTCCTAGCTATTGGCTATGTCCCCCTGTGTATCTCCTTTGAGAAAGCCGCGGGCTCTGTTCCTGTCCTCTGCTTCTTCTCCTACCTGACTGGCCTGGGTGGGTGCATGGCGTTTGCGGGTGCAGTGAAGACATCTGCACTCAACTGGCCAAGCCATCGCGGCACGGCCACAGCGTTTCCGCTTGCTGGATTTGGGCTCAGTGCCTTTTTCTTCTCTTTTGTCGGCGCAATTCTTTTCCCTGGCAGCACCAGCTCCTTTTTGCTGCTACTGGCATGGGGCACTTTTGGTCTTACTTCCGTTGGCTACTTCTTCTTAAAAGTCCATCCTCAGGTATCTTACCAGGAAGTGCCCACCCAATCATCTGAACCATCGTCATCTGGCCGAGGAAGATCGCGTAGTGTAACCGAACCTGGTATGTTATCCAATCCTGAAGCTGTTCACCCAGACTTGGCCTTGCCACCAAAGGCCCCTCCAGAATCTGACGCCAGTCGCGCCAATATTTTAAATGACACCGAAGCTGGTGATGCCCCGAGTACCGAGAATTCATCTTTACTTGCTGGTGCCGCAGGCGCCGAGATTGTCGGGGGTAGTAGTGTTGATCAAGATGTCTCTTATCGACTAGATGTACGAGGCGTGAAGCTCCTGTTCTGCCTAGATTTTTGGCAGCTGTTTTCCATCATGGCCATTCTCGCTGGAACCGGCCTCATGACTATCAAGTACGTTTTAAATATCACTCTCACCGACCTGTTGCCAGCAAAACTAACGTTTGGTAAAGTAATATTGGAAATGATGCAAACGCCCTCTGGAAGCATTATGACCCCTCAGTTGATGAACCATTCCTCGTTAGCCACCAGCAAATACACGTATCCATTCTCTCTGTTTTTAATTTTGTAGGGAGGCTGCTAAGTGGTAAAACTATCTGAAGTCACTTAATATTCTTGTCTAAGCATTGAACTAACTTTGATACAGGTATTGGCTCTGACTATCTCGTCAAAACTCTTCAGGCCAGCCGCATCTGGTGTCTGGCCGTGGCCTGTCTCATATTCCTTCTTGCACAAATTTGTGCCTTACAAATCGAGATGCCACAAAAACTTGTATTCGTTTCGGGTCTTTCTGGCTTGGCCTACGGCTTCCTCTTTGGTGTTTTCCCTTCCATTGTTGCAGAGACATTTGGCATTGGTGGACTGAGCCAGAATTGGGGTTTTATGACTCTTGCTCCTGTAGCCTCAGGAAATGTGTTCAACCTACTATACGGAAGGATCTATGATCACCACAGCATTGTTGAACCCGATGGCACTCGATCTTGCGACGACGGTATCGCTTGCTACCGCTCTGCTTATGCGGTTACCTCGACTGCATGTGCCCTGGGCCTATTAATCACTTTATATATCATTCACTACCAGAGAAACCAGTATCTAAAGGCGAAAGACAAGTTGGATGAAGAAGACTGATAGTTTGGCATATATGCGAAGTGCTTAGCATAGGGTACAGCTGCAACTGTTTTGACCAGCGTAAATGAATCTACAACATTAATACCTTTTCAACCATTCCTTTTCTCCCTCTAAATACCTAAATTTCAAAGACAATTGGTTATTTTCACGGGATAGCTTTCCAACAGCCATGTTTTTGGGTGTCTTGTCACTGGCGCAGAACTTAGCCTATGTATCTAACCGATTCTACGTTCGCGCGCCCATCGGTATAAGCATAGAAAGGGCGCCTAACCGTATACGTCCAGTTATGTCATCTCGTTTCGGTCACGGGTACCTTTGTCGTGGGCAAGACGCATCATCCTTTTTCAAGCCCGACAACACTACCAGTCGCTGTCGTCGCGCAACCTGCGATCTGACGCATCCAACGCATGTCTCATTTTTTGACAAAATGGGCGCCCTTCTTTCTCTCCCGCTGCTCGCGATACCCAGCTTGAGCACAGTACGTTACATCGATACCGAGATTTATGCATTGAAGACGTCTCAATCTCGGCCAGGCCCAGTGTTTCGTCGTCTTTTGCGCAGAGCGTCTAAGATGCGACTGACCTGCTAACCTGTGTTATGTAGGCAACATCTTGCTTGGCCAGCTGCTGCGGCGCAGCTACATGTTCCATGGTTTGTAGCGCATGCGGCAAATGTGGAAACAGGTATGATGATATCTAGTTCGCACCGGATCTGCTGAAGATTTGGCTGACAGTCCATCAGTATCGCTACACGCATTGCCTACGCTCTACTTCTCCTCGTCAACTCGATATTAGCATGGATTATGCTCACCGATTGGGCTATAGAAAAGCTTCAGCATCTCGCACTTGACTATGTCAAGATCAACTGCCCCACAGGACAGTGCTATGGGTGGCTAGCTGCTCATAGAATCAACTTTGCTCTCGGACTTCTGCACCTTATCTTCGCTGGCCTTCTATTCGGCGTTCAATCCTCGAAAAGCCCTCGAGCCGCTATACAGAATGGTTATTGGGGACCCAAGATCATTGCTTGGCTGGCACTCATTGTCATGTCTTTCCTCATTCCCGACAAGTTCTTTATGTTCTGGGGAAATTATGTCTCATTTGCTGCTGCGATGCTGTTTCTTATCCTCGGCCTCATTTTGCTCGTGGATTTAGCTCACACCTGGGCTGAGTATTGCTTAGCACAAATCGAAGAGACTGACTCTAGGGTATGGCGATTCGTTCTTATAGGCTCGACCTTGGGCATGTACCTGGCATCTATTGCGATGACTATCGTCCAGTACATCTTCTTTGCCCAGGGCCAGTGCGCCATGAACCAGACTGCCATCACAGTCAATCTCATTTTATGGCTGATTATATCCGTTGTGTCCGTTAATCCTACGGTTCAGGAATACAACCCCAAAGCTGGATTGGCCCAGGCCGCAATGGTGGCAGTCTACTGCACTTATTTGACAATGTCAGCTGTTTCCATGGAGCCTGATGATAAGAACTGCAATCCCTTGGTCCGCGCTCAAGGAACAAGAACCACATCCGTTGTTATCGGAGCCATCGTCACAATGCTCACAGTTGCTTACACAACTACCCGCGCGGCTACTCAAAGCCTTGGTCTAGGAGGCAATGGCGATGGAATCCGACTCCCGGAAGATGATGAGCACGACTTGGTCACACAGCAACCTATGGATCGCCGTGAAATGCGGGCAGAAGCTCTGCGTCGTGCTGTGGAAGAAGGCAGTCTGCCGGCTGATGCGCTGCTGTCGGATGATGAGAGCGACGCTGGCGGAGATCACGCACACGATGATGAGAGATCCAACACCCAGTACAATTATTCAATGTTCCACATCATTTTCTTCCTAGCCACGGCATGGGTATCAACGCTTCTCACTCTCAATTACGAGGAGTCAACTCGAGATGGTAACTTCGCCACAGTTGGCCGTACATACGGAGCTAGCTGGGTCAAGATTGTAAGTGCCTGGATCTGCCACGGCATGTACATCTGGACGCTTGTTGCGCCTATCATTTTCCCTGAACGCTTCGATTTTTCTTAAATTCGATGGCACCTACACGTTTTTATTCATTTTTTTTCCGCCAAACCCAACTGTACAGTGAGTGTACTTCCATTCACAAGGTGGTATTGGCGATATTACCCGTTCGTCTGGAGAGCTGAGAAACCGATACCCTTCCAAGACTGTCCGAGCCCTCAGTTAAGCTATCTGTTTACTGCAAGATATCACTATGAATAAGCCTTTATTAGTAGCCCACCTGTTTGGAATACATATGCAGGAAGAATGGTCTAACTCGGCTTCGTTAGCAATGCTTTCTGGTCCCTTGTATAAGTGATATAACTAGAATATTTCATTAGGTAAAGGTGAAGGAGTTTGCTATTTGATCAATTTATTGCGTTTACTACATTACAATCTGCTTTTCTGCCCAAAGAACCTAGCCAATTAATAAGATCGTTGAAGACGTAGGTCGCATTTCTGGACATAGAAGCCATTATCAGCGCGATATAAAATAATTACTCTAAATGATGTATTCCGTTCCTAATTCTCCTTTTGTCCATCTATAGCCCCTGCTGCCTTTGCGGCCGCGCCCTGATTTAATCCAGCCTCTTTATTGCTCCCCTGATCCTGCAATTTCAAATCCTGCATTTGTTGTTTGTCCTGCTCCCATTGAGAGTTAGCATCACCAAATTCCTCTTTAATCTGCTGCTCCTTGATCTTTCTTTCTTCTTCTTCCTTCTCTCGAGCGATTCGTTCTCTTTCCATTTCCTGTAGAAGGTTCAATTAGCATAGGTTCCTCCAAGTGTAATCGGAAAAGGGGGAGAAGATGGACGAAAATACGTACTTCCATGTGTTTGATATCATCAACGCTAGGCTCGTACAAATGCCAAATGGTATAGTGCGGCAAACCAACTACGGAGAATCGCATTCGTTTCGCCATCTGTTGAGCTCGTTAGTCAAAAACCATTCGAGCATCTGGTAGATCGAGACTCACCTTGCCAAATCCCTCCGTTTCGGCATGCTTCTCGAAACTAAAGGCAGGGAAATGGACACCACTGCGAAATACTTTGGCTTTCGCCAGAATACTCACTCCTCCGACTCCGTCAATCTCCATCTCCATGTCTGGATCGCCATAGGGGTCTCGCAGATAAGCAAGATGGGGCCGCCATGTGGCATATTCAGCATAGCCCTCTACGATGACGGCATCTTCGTCCAATGTGTCGGCCAACGCAAGAGCAGTTTCGGATTCTTGCCAAGAGTTCAAATCGTAAGGTTGTTCGCCACCAAGCCAGTCGGGAAGAGGACGCCACACATCTTGAGTATTGTTAGTGCAAAGTAGAACAAGATGGGTTCGGGATGGACATACTAGGGACAATAACGTCTTTGTTGTGTCGCATCAAATCCTCCAAAATTGTGAACGGTGCGGTCTCAACGTCCACATCACGCCAGTATACCCAAGAATGATATGGCCGCAGGGCAGCACTGAGAAGCCAGTTGCGCGCTTGAGCCATAAGCTTTCTACGGCTAGCCTGAGCAGCAAATCCGTGTCGACTTTCAACGTCCTGGTTCACCTTTTGGCCAAAATCCTTCTCGATGATGGATATTTCTCCATATGGCTGTTTTGGATCGGCATCTGCCTGGATAGCCTCCAAGTTCTCCGAGAGAACTTGCAGGGTTCGGTCCTTCGAATCGGAGACAAGAAAAGCGAGATCAATTAAATTGTGGGGGTATGTAAAGTTCTTCAGGTGGGAGAAGAACATTGGCAGATGTTGCTCGGCATCTCGAAGTGGTACGCATAGCAGGATACGTTCTTCGCGCTCCCAACCGCGCGCCGTTCCTTGCACGTTGGTGAGGTCGTAGTATCGCACCGTTTCAAGTTTCAAGTCCTCGTATCCAGATAAAATGCCGAGCGAGATCAGAGAAGCGACGGATTTAGGCTGTCCAAACCAAAATATGAGAAGGACAATGATGGCCACTACTATGCCAATACGAATCGCAGTCCTCTTGCGTTTTCTATGAGGAGGGAGGGTGGCTCTCGGTTGGAACCTGCGAAGAATTCGGTCAGCAGATCAGTTGATTTGAATCGCATGCAAGGGGAGAAAAAATCATCACCTATGGGGGGAAATCTCGAAAGTGTCGGCACGCGGATATCCATTGGAAAATCCGCTGGAGTGATGCCGTGGCATCATTTTGGAATCGTAGGGAGACTTATGAAAACATCAATGGCCCTCTGTTAATCGCGTACTGCACGCGGGCGGTTTCTACCACCTGCGTGATTGAATTGGATTGATCAAAGCTGGTGATTTGTGACAAGACAGGAGGCAAGGCCTAAACGTAACGTGGATGGAGGAGTGCCTCGTATCCAGAAAGACCCCTTGATCCTGTTGCGGCCATTCCACAAAAAATGTTAGCCTGGCTACTTCGTACAGAGTACTTCTCGCAAGACTCGCCAGATAAGCACCACAGGAAAGTTATATCTATTTATAGCATAGCCTGCAGGATGCAGAATTGTATTTGAGAAAATTAGAATTGATATTAAAAAAGTATTAAAGAATTTCCAAAAAGTTTCCCTAGATAGTATCTCAGTACTACTAGTGTGTGATGATAAAATAAGTTAAACAGGATGCCTATAGTTGTAATGATGCCTAAATGTCATTTATTCCTCCATCGAATCGCCATACTGTGAATTCTACTGCCTGTTTTAATTAACTCTGGCCATGACTCGGAGAATAGATAAATTGGGCTAGTACTGAGTGTGGCACTATGTGTGGATTTTGTAGGCTCCAGGTTAGCTGCCTGTGAGAGCCCCTCCACAGAGAAATGGTCCAAGCTATCGCGTACCACTTCGTGCTAGGCTAGGAGTTCGTCACTGTTACTTCTGGCCACGAAGAGCTATATTTTCTGGCGCTGCTCATGCGCTTTGATATTTCTTCCAATTATTGACAACACGATACAGGATAAGAATTTCTCGCTGTTCTTCCAAAGCGATTACATATAATTCTAGCGCAATGGCGGCCCAAAACCAAATGCATAATCTGACAACGCTCATAAAACGGTATTTGGATATTCCTATGTGCCACTTCGCTCCCGCGATGCTGATTGCCTGGCAGACTTGAAGCTGCAACCTCACGCCTGGAGGATATCGCCTCGTCTACAGAACTCCCTAAAGATGTCTCCGGCCTCGCCCAACCTGCGACTCCTCAGTCGGAAACAGTTGCAACCCCGCTGCCACCTGCCCCGAAAGAGCCTCAGGAGGCGCTACCCGAATCTATCGAAGATTTCGATGTTTTCTTAAACACGAGCCTCGATAAATATATCAAGCTCAGCAGTCAGCTTGGGGGAGTTGTTGCCCAGCAAGTCCGTACCTACCTGCTTCCTAATCTCTCCAAGTACTGGTCAGGGGAGCTAACAATTGTGCTCTGATACAGGCGTCTGAAGTTCTCAGGGGCTTCCAAGAGCAACGAAAATTCCTGCTCATTGCTTCCAAGGCTGCAAAGCCGAGTACCTCAGGATCTAGCTTAACTGTTTATCAGAACTTGCTTAAACCAATCAACGATGCTGTCATGGCTGCGACCGAACTCAAAGAATCCAACCGACCCGACCCAATGTATAGCAACCTGAGCGCTGTTGCGGATGGAATCATGGTGATGGGCTGGGTTACTATTGATCGCCGCCCGTACACCTTCGTCGAAGAATCTTTAGGCGCTGCGCAGTTCTTCGGCAACAGGGTCCTGAAAGAGCAAAAAGACAAGTACGTCTAGCATCTGGACGAAGTTTTGTGACTAAATGGCTAACATTTTCTTTTCTGAAACTTCAGTGACCCTAAACAGGTTGAGTGGGTGCAATCTTTCTATCAGATCTTCCATGACCTTGGCGATTACATCAAACAGCACCATGCCTCTGGCGTTGCTTGGAACCCGAGAGGAGAGCCGGCCGAGGAAGTCGCCAAGGCATTGAATGCTGGCAAAGCGTCGCAACAACCTTCGCAGACCAGCACTCCCTCAGCTGGTGCGCCACCACCACCTCCCCCTCCACCGCCTCCCGGCCCGGCCCCGATCTTGGATATACCTGTCGAATCTGCAAAGCCAGCCAATGCGGCACCAGCTGGAGGTTTTGGGGCCGTTTTTTCAGAATTGAATAAGGGCGAATCTGTGACCAAGGGCCTACGTAAAGTGGACAAGTCGGAGATGACACACAAGAACCCTGCTTTACGGACAGGATCCACAGTCTCAGAGGCTCCCCGGGCTAAGAGTCCAGTTCCTGGCAAGAAGCCCAAGCCTGAGAGCATGCGAGTTAAGAAGCCAGCAAGCAAAGTTCTCGAGGCCAACAAATGGACTATTGTACGTCTCCTAGGCCATTGATAGTGAGATTTTTATGTTCTAACCCTCCCACAGGAAAACTACGAAAAGGAGCCCGAGCCAGTAGAGATTGAGGCTTCCATTACCCACTCCGTACTGATCAGCCGATGCAACAACACTACTGTCATCATCAAGGGCAAGGCAAACCAGGTCACTGTTGAAAACTCTACTCGGTTGTCCCTTGTCGTTGATTCGCTAGTCTCCACCGTGGATGTGGTAAAGGCGAATAACTTTGCGCTCCAAGTACTTGGAACTGTGCCTACCGTCATGCTAGACCAAATCGATAGCGCGCAGATCTATCTCAGCAAGGAGAGCTCCGCTACCAAACTGTTCACAAGCAAGAGCGATGGAATTAACGTGAACATCTTGGCTGGTCAGGATGATGACTATAAGGAGGTGCCGCTGCCTTCTCAAATCTGCTCCTACTACAGTGAAGAAAAGGGAGAGCTTGTGAGCGAAATCGTGGCCCACGCAGGCTAAACAAATAGATGAATGATATATATATATTATATACTATATACTATATATATATAGGTATACACACACAGAGAGAGAGAGAGAGAGGTGGTATATAGGAGAAAATATATACAACACTATATTCAGATAGAGATAGAATTGAATATAGCAATATTTACGATTGTCTAATATAATGAGACGAAATGAAGAGTTCTAATCTTTTTCAATGGTTAACAACAGCAATTTGCTGGTATTATCTAGTACGTACTAAGTCTAAAAGCCTCCTATTTCGTCATGTCATAGACCGAGTTCCGGTACCTATGAGTACTATCTAGTACTACGCTACGATACCTACTGAGAAGCGTCTATATGTATAGTTGCGTACCCCAGATGTACCCCGCACTGACAGACCGTGCTGCCGGTATCGCAACACTACGCCCTATTGAGTAACGCTGCCCCTCTATTGTCATTCTCCAGAGAATTGCGACTTCACTAGATATCCAATTATCCACCCACTAAACCTACGCACGGTGACTCTGAATCGTTTCTGGCATTCATTTGTTTTTTGTCTCTCCAAGAACAAGAAGCATCCTGAAACATCAATTGCATATACTTCGCCACTATTATCAACTCCTAGGCGCCTCTGTTTTCTTGTTCTCGCTTCTTTTCGCAGAGTAATAGCTTCTTTCACATCGTGGGCGGGTTGTACGGGAGCAATACAGTATATGTTTCCGCTTATCCTACCGTAGCCGCGGAACCGCTCTCGCAGTCACATACCACAATCTCGTTTTTGAGAGAATCCTTCCTCTATATATTCAAAATGGCAGCTGACGACAAGTCTGCCAACCCCCTCAAACGTGTCGACCTCGATGGCCATGACCTCCCACCTTCACCTGCGCCATCGAGCCCTCGAAACGGACGCCGCCGTTATGCTCTGGCGACCGAACTAGTCTATACTGAGGGAAAAGACCAGTATGGCGCTTCAAGTACTCCAATCTATCAGTCTGCGACTTTTAAGCAGAGCTCTGCCAGCGGTGGCCAACAGGAATACGACTACACAAGATCCGGCAACCCTACACGCACCCACCTCGAGCGCCACCTCGCCAAGATCATGAACGCGAACCGTGCCTTGGCCGTCAGCTCTGGAATGGGAGCTCTCGATGTGATCTCGCGACTTCTACGTCCTGGTGACGAAGTCATCACTGGCGACGATCTCTACGGCGGCACACACCGTTTGCTCACATATCTCGCTACCAACCAGCAAATTGTCGTACACCATGTCGATACAACAGATGTCAATGCCGTTAAAGAGCGGTTGTCGGAAAAGACGACCATGGTGCTCCTCGAGACTCCTACTAACCCTTTGATTAAAATAGTTGACGTGCCCTCGATTGCACGTTTGGCGCATGAAGTCAATGAAAAAGCCCTTGTGGTTGTTGACAACACTATGCTGTCTCCCATGCTATTCAACCCCTTGGACGTGGGCGCAGACATTGTGTATGAGTCAGGAACCAAATATCTCTCCGGTCATCATGATATCATGGCCGGCGTGATTGCATGCAACGATGCGGCGATTGGCGACAAACTCTACTTCACTATCAACTCGACTGGATGTGGACTATCTCCCAATGACTCGTTCCTTCTTATGAGAGGAGTCAAGACACTGGCTATCCGCATGGAAAAGCAGCAATCCAACGCACAGGCCATTGCGGAATTCCTAGAATCACATGGATTCAACGTACGGTACCCCGGCCTTAAGTCTCACCCACAATATGACTTGCATTGGGCAACTGCCAGGGGAGCCGGCGCAGTATTGTCTTTTGAGACAGGAGACGCAGCAGTCTCACAGCGTATCGTGGAGGCAGCCCGTCTATGGACCATTAGCGTCAGCTTCGGATGCGTAAACAGTCTCATCAGCATGCCCTGCCAAATGAGCCATGCCAGCATCGATGCCAAGACTCGAAGGGAGCGACAGATGCCTGAGGATATCATTCGCCTTTGCGTCGGTATCGAAGATGTTGATGATCTGATAGACGATCTTTCTCGCGCTGTAAGTTTACCTTTACAACTCATTGCCTCTTTTGTTCCATTGCTAATGACTGATCTCATTTTTAAGCTTGTTCAAGCTGGCGCAGTAACAGTCTCTCTTGACGGATTTCAAGCTGTTGAGCCGGCTCAGATGCAGTGAAGGCCTGGGAGGATCGGGTTCAATGGTGGAGTCAAAATTACGAGTCATCCATTCTCTGTACGTTTTGAAGCAAGTCGCTTTTGATTCGCAGCATCAGTGCGGGATTCGCCCTCCTGACAGGGGCCCCTATAAGCGCGGAGGGCACTAAATGCCAGCTACTACCTACATACAGTAGTAGATAGTGAGTGGCAAAAAGCGCTGGCGACAGGTCCCTCGTAAACATGGCAATGGTGCTATCGGCCTTCTCTGTACGATGTACATGTACGAGTAGATTCCAATGGAGCTCCTTCATGTACTATCTGTTGCGGCCTCGGGCTGTGGTAGTGCTGCTGGTCTGATTGCTGTAGTTGTTCTTTGTATGGAATACTGCATATGTTAATACGAGTGATGAAGTAGCAGGGTGGTAAAATTAGAGCCGTGAATAAAGCACGAAATAGTGCGGAGGCAGCCAACCACAAGTAAGGCGCTAAAGTCAAGCATATTTGGTTTATTCTGAGCTATTCCGTCCAGGTGGGCTGCGAACCCGCAACATTGCACGTCTACTTTATCCAACACGGCATCGGAGAACAATTATTCTGGGTATTCAGGCTCACTTTATCACTGGTGTATGTGATGGGAATTCTGTTCTATGTTCAAAGATGTCTTACGGCGAGCGAAGAAAGCGGCAGATTTTTGCTGTGGACCCTCCCGAGACGCTGGTCTTGACGATTGATCTAGCCAAGCTGAAAGATAAGGGTGTTGCCAATAAGAAAATAGTAGTTTCATCATAGCGTAATTTAACCTTGTAAAAATTTACTAAACTTAATTTATGTTTATATACTGTATATACACACCATAGCCTTTGTTCTACTCTAGAATGGCGTTCTGGCATGACATGTGTCCCCCTTTTCAGATAGGTATACATAGTTTATGCCATCCTAGGTGCTAGATAGATCGTCCTTTATTATTCACCGTCGTCATCATCGTAACCATCATCATCGCCGTTTCCGTCTGCACGCAAGATTAAAGGTGTGCCCGACAGAATCACGGTGTGCGGGAAGAACATCTCAAGATATTCTCCTTACAGTTCTCCTTCCCCTCCCTCTCACTTCTACTTCTCTGGATTTCATATTTGCCTGTAGATAAACTGGCATGCATTGTCCTTTGGCGGCTTTGCTCCCCCACAGCAGAGCATAGCGGGCACTTACATAGTATGCACATCTCAGCTTACCAGCAGACTCGTAATTTATCCACAGACTAACCAACCGCCCATACCCACACGAGCCTGGGCGATTCCATGTTTTACTTCTTTTCTTGCAAGAGGGGCCCGAGATCGCGGGCTATCGACCATGCGTACGGGTCAGAATTGCCCCGTCGATTGGCGCCATCACAGCCACCGACATTTTCATGAGCCGCCTCGTCGTTTCAAGCATATTTACTAGTCCATGCCATCGGCTATTTCATTGGTAATTCTTGAGCAGAATTTTGCTCGCAGAATCCTGGCAGCCTTCCATTGATGGCCAGAGTTTTAAGATCACCAACACCTGCAATGCCCTGTATCTACACGGCCTGAAGCTCCATCTCCTCTGCCCGACAAAGTGGCTGGAGCCACCGGAGGCTTGCCACGTCGTCGACCCCTGGGCCCGGCCTGCGCTGCGTCGCTCGTGAAGCGGAATACCAAAAGTATTTAGTGTTGTGCATTGCCCAGAACGGTATTTCTGTTCACAGACCTCCAGACTCAGCTACATATAAGTAAGTAGCCGTCTTAGCTGCCCACTTATACTACCACCACCACGACCACTACCACTACCACTCACTGCCTTTGAGTCTGTGGTGCCAAATTGAACAAGGACAAGGCGAAGCGATATCAGTTAGCCCCACCACCGGGCATCGACCTGCGCTTTGATCCAGGCTGTTTCAATGGCTAGTCCTAGCCATCGACGCTTCGGCTCTCATGGCCAGCGCCAAGGTCTCGTTCACAATGACGCCCTCGAACCCGGTCCTGTTTACAACAAGACCTACGGCGCTGAAGAGACGCTTCCTCCTCCAAACACCACTAGCAACGAACTCAAGCGAACCCAGTGGCGGCGGAGTGGTGAAGGCCCAAACATGAAGCTTTTCAGGATCAAAACAGGCGGCGAAAGTGGCCGCGGCGGCATTCACCCCTGGCACTTCTTCAGAATCTGCTTCCGTTCTTCCTGCAAAGCCAGCGCGGCCGTCAATATCCTCTGGCCTATTGTTCCCGTCGCTTTGGCTGTTAGATGTAAGTCGATATGAGCTAGGGTGGCAGCGAGAGACCTCGTCCCTCCGGTTCTTCTACGCAGGTCCCGGCGCGCTTACTGACTTGGAGTTTTGTGCTGTTTAGACTCTTTGCCGGAACAGCATGTTCTCATCTTCACCCTCTCCTACATTGCAATGGCGCCTTGCGCCAACCTTATTGGATTCGCTGGCCAAGAGCTTGCACGCAAACTTCCCCATGTGCTCGGCGTGCTTATTGAGACGACGGTCGGTTCTATCGTCGAGATCATTCTCTTCATGGTTCTACTCTCCAAAGACCAATTTCTTGTCATAAAGGCTGCTATCCTCGGTTCGATTCTAGCTACTATGCTTCTCTGCCTGGGTCTCTGTTTTTTCGTCGGAGGTTTATATCATGAGGAACAGAGCTTCAGCGATACTATCAGTGAGGCCGGTAGTGGATTACTTCTCACAGCGTATGTCGTCCTCATCTGAGTTCACTTAATGAAAACACGAAAGCTGACCTATAATTCCAGCGGCGTGGCGTTAGCTATTCCCACCGTCTTTCAGCGAGGACTCCCGGAATCCAACATGACAGCTGCAGAGATTGCCGACAAGACCCTAGACATCTCGAGAGTTGTATCCATCCTCCTCATCATTGCATACTGTGTCTTTGTCTTTTTCCAAGCCCGGACGCACCACGGCCTCTACCATGACATTTTCGAAATGGACGAAGAGCGCGACCGTGATGGCCATAAGGACGCCGCCAAGGACAAGCTCACCCTGATAGAGTGTCTTATTGCGCTAAGTGTTGCCGTTGCTCTGGTTACTCTAATTGCTATTACCCTCGTCTTGCAAATCGAGCCTATAATTGTGCACTCAAGAGTATCTGACGCCTTCATGGGTCTTATCTTGGTTCCTTTGGTTGAGAAATTCGCCGAGCACATCACCGCTATTGACGAGGCATGGGACAACCAGATGAATTTTGCGCTGTCACATGTCCTGGGTGCCACTCTTCAGACTGCCCTTTTCAACGCCCCCTTGGTTGTCGTCGTTGCTTGGGGCTACAATAAGCCTCTGGATCTAGACTTTGGCATCTTTGACCTCGTTATGCTTATTCTAGCCATTTTAACTGTTGGTCGGTTTTTGCAAGATCAGAAAAGCAACTATCTTGAAGGTTTTCTCCTGGTTATTCTTTACGTTGCTATCGCAGTCTCTGCTTTCTACTATCCGAACCCAGGCCACGAGGGGGCCGAAGGGTCTGGTCCTTCTGCAGAAGGCATAGAAGCTGGCGAGAAGTTTCGCCTTTTCTGAAGTGTGTCACATAGATCTGTGGTTCAGCATGACAGCACTATACATTGGATTTTCGCGTTACCGTTTGTTCCAACCTCAACAGCTTGTACTCGGCAATTATAACATTGCGAAGGAGAGTATTGGAAAATTTTTAGATTCATGGGAGCATATATGACGTTGTATGGGAGGGCTAAACGACATATATAAGAATTCGGAGCTTTCACTCAAGGAACGCCCTCTAATATCCTATTAACTGTTTGTATAAGCGGTTTTGTGCAATTTTGCCTTTCTACGGATTGCTGCCTGAGATAGGAAAGATGCGGGCTTGTTTCAGAATACTTGACCAACTGTTAGCTAATCCATAGACGTGGAAACATGGTATTTAGCAGTAATGATTTAAATTCGAGAATGGGCATGTGAGTAGTGACGCCTTAGTTTACCCTATAAGCTGGTAGGATTTTGTAAGTTTACGAAGAGCACCTTACTATTCTATATGAAATCAATACTGTGGGTATAGTTTGCGGCAGATGTATACTTCTCTTTCGGACTGTCTTGTCTCAGCGCCGCATTGAACGGATTTCTCTGTAGTTGCGTATCGTGTAAAGGATCAGCTCACACGCTGGAAATGAGTGCCCCCTTGACTGCCCTTGACTGCCCTTGGCTTAGGACGCAGGAATGCTCTGCGCATTTGGGTCAAGCTAGCTCTCGCAGCCACATTGTTCCGTTGGCCAGTGCTAGCGCGCGGCTGACTCAGCGCTGCATATGTTGAATTAAGCTCTCAATGATGATGGCATTATTGGCCAAATAGGAATTTCACTATATCAGAGTTCTCTAGCCATTCCGCATAGTTTAGCCTTGCGTCAATCTTGTGGCTGCGAAGGACCAAGGGTTTAAGTTCTGGTTACTTGGCCGACTACTTCGTGCTGTATATCCTCTTGTCCGACCTGTTTTCTGGGACGCACCGATGCTGCTGGATCGCCTTGCCCAACAACAGTGCCATATTTTAGGGCAGTACATCCCTTAGCAGCCTGGCGTCACGCTCGAATGTAGGATCTCGAATAGAATCGGCTGTCGCAATCCAGACTCAACGAGCGGGTTGCCATGGATCGTACAAGGAAGAGTATGTGTTGTGTTTGCGATCCTGCCGCCCGGCAGTTTATGGGCTAACGGTGGATATTAGGAGAGCTTCGAGCTCTTAATGAAAAGGCCTGGGACGGCGATAAGGGTATAGTGAACGGATGGCCCCAATGCCTCGTTATTCGTTGGCTAATTCCTAGACCAAAGGCCTCATAAACATCAGCGGCTCGCTTGATTCGTCTCTCAAGAAGAATACCGCCTTTATAAAACGGCTTCGAACTGCTATTAGCGCTGCGACCCTCTCGACCTTTCTGCAAGAGATTCGAACTCTAAGCTTGCATAAATATCTTTCCGAGATCATATCTGCGTGCTATGAAGGCCTCTGTAGACTTAAAACTCCAGGAGAGATCGAGGCCGCGGTCGAAATTGTGAGCGCGCTCCATCAACGATTCGGCCCTACCGAATTCACCGAATACCTTACCTGGCTACTTGGCAAGGGCATGGCCACGCCTGACAAGAGTATTCTCAAAAGTTTGCCGGCGGAGGTCCGTGAGAAAGAGGAGAAAGAGCGCATCATCCGACAGCGTGCTCTTCTCAGGGTGATTACGGAACTCTGGCTTGTTGGCGTGCTGAGGACGCTTGATGATGCGAGCAAGCCAGATGATGCTACCAAAGGTGCTACTGGCAAAGCTCCAGAGTTGAAAACTCGAAGCAGCTCCAAAGTTGGCGGCTCTGCGGACCCATTCCCACTAGAAGTCTTGAAAGACTTGCTCGGCTATGATAGGGAGCACGCTAATTTGCCGTTGCTTGTGATCTTTGTCAAAGCCTTTAGCTGGGACATTCTGGGGATCCGAACCACCACACCTGAAGGTCGCAAACCTGGAGATGATGACAGTCTGCCAGCCACTGAAGATACAAAGGACCCTCCCGCCGAAGACCAGCCATTTACTCCTCCCGAACTAGCAGACAAGTTCAAAGAAATTTTGAAAAAGTACTTCGACGATGTTGCGAATCACATCATTCGCGACCAAAAATCTATCCATCTCCAAGCACGGCGCAACGCTGAGGCCTATGTCAAGTCTGGAGAGGTCTTCGAAGATAGGCAAGCTAATTATGAGAAACAAGTGAAAGCTCAAGATAGACTCGTTGCCAATGCCCAAGTAATAGCAGACGCCATTGGCGCGGAAATGCCTAGCCTGAAAGACTCCAATGATCCTCTTGCAGCTTCAAACAACTCCATAGGCTTGGTCAAGACCGGTGACTACCTGCGATCTATGGCAGATGGCGCCGGCATTTGGGAAGATGAAGATGAGCGCCGGTTCTACGAAAATTTAGTGGATCTCAAGGGAAAGATTCCGGCTATTCTCTTAGAAGACGGCAAAAAGAAGAAATCAGAGACTGAAGAGCAGGCTGTCAAGAAGTCAGACTCTACCGAAAGCTCAGAGCCTACAAAGGCCCCTGAACCTATTGATGATCAGTCCATGGCTATTGCTAATAAAACTATCGGAGCACAGGTAGATGCCATCTTGGCTCGTTTGCCAGACCTCACAAACAAGGAAATTATTGACCAGACGGCCATTGATTTCTGTTTTCTCAATTCCAAGGCGTCGCGCAACCGACTAGTCAAGGCTCTGACCGAGGTTCCCAAAGGGAGGAGTGATTTGCTGCCATCCTGGGCTCGTCTGGTTGCTACCTTGGGTAGATATATGCCAGACGTACCAAAAGGGTTGGTCGATTATCTGGACGCGGAATTTCGTAGTCTGCAGCGACGCAAGGAAAAGGACTTTTTGGGCCAGGTTCGGTTGAGTAATATTCGGTACTTGGCTGAGCTTACAAAATTTGGAGTGGTCCCTGAGCATGTTGTTTTCCATTGCCTCAAGGTCAGTCTTGATGACTTCTCTCGGATGAATATCGAGATTTTGTGCAATTTAATTGAGAATTGCGGTCGGTATCTCCTCAGGAACCCTGAAACTGCGCCTAGAATGGCAAGCTTCCTCGAGACACTGCAGAGGAAGAAGTCCGTACAGCATATTGGCCAGCCAGAACGGATGCTCATTGATAATGCGGTGTACCACGTTGATCCACCAGAACGACCTGCTATTGAGCAGAAGGAGCGGACTCCAATGGAGCTCTTTATTCGAAAATTAATATATGGAGACATGACTAAACGGAATTACAGCAAGATCTTGAAACAGATTCGCAGACTCCATTGGGAGGAGACGGAAGTAAGACTTTTTTTTTTTTTTTTTTTTTTTTTTTGGCCCATATCCTTCATTATCTCCCCTCAGCTGGCTACATTTCTATTTTGATATATGATTTTGCTAATCTCCATTTCCCTTAATCTAGGTTGTTGCTATTCTAGAAAAAGTATTTTCTAAGCCTGGCAAAGTGAAATATGGGAACATTCATCTTCTTGGCATACTTTTGAGCGCCCTCTACCGACATCATCCGCATTTTGTGGTCAAAGTCATTGATAACGTTTTAGAGTCCATTAGTTTCGGACTAGAACAAAACGACTTTAGGTTTTCTCAGCGCCGTGTTGCAGAAGTAAAGTATCTCGGCGAGCTCTACAACTATCGCATGCTGGAACATCCGGTGATTTTTGACACCATGTATAAAATCGTCTTATTTGGATATAGTGAGTTACCCTTTCTTATTCCTTCCTGGTAAGCCTTGGATCGTCCGTATATGAACTAACATGTTTGCTAGATGGGCCGCCTGTACTTGGCAAATACAATCCTTTTGACCCTTCAGATGATTATTTTCGGATCCGCCTTGTCTCCATTATGCTAGAGACTTGTGGGATGTTTTTTAATCGAGGTGCCGCAGGCAAAAAGCTTGATTACTTCCTATCATTTTTCCAGGTAAGGCAAGCCTATTAATCTGGCGTATGAGATGTAGCTGATCAAATGTGTCTCTACAAGTATTATGTCCACACGAAATATCCCCTGCCCCTGGATATTGAATTCCTTGTGCTTGATACTTTTGCATTGACCCGACCCCAATGGAAATTTGTGGAGGATATTGAGGAGGCGACTAAAGCTTTCCAGCTTGCCATCGCTCAAGATCAGAAAACTGCAGGCGTTGACAAGATTATTGAAGCAGATGATGCTACAAGTGGCCCATCATCCGAGGATGAAAATGGGGACATGGACGACGTAGAAGCGGATGGCGATGGTGACGATGAAAGCGCCTCTGAAGAAGAAGAGGAAGCAGAGGTGAGATGCAATCCTCGCAATTCCACATGAATAAGCGCCATATGATGGATAGAGTTACTAACAGCATCGTTGATAGGATGGCGATAATGGCTCAACTCACGAAAGCGATTATGACGAGGCGATCATTGTCACTAGACAAGAGGAAGCTGTAGATCCTGAAGACGAGGCCGAATTTGAGCGAGAATATGCGAAAATGATGGCGGAAAGCCTCGAGTCCCGCAAGTTTGAGCGCAAACAATTATTTGACGTGCCGCTTCCTGTGCGGTCTAGAAATCGCGAGCAATCAATGTCTGCTGGCTCTGGAGAGACGGGACAGAGCGGCACCATGGCCTTTTCCCTGATGACCAAGAGAGGCAATCGACAACAAGTATGTTCATTCATCTGCCATGGTCTTCTTTCATATCGCCTATGCTAACATACACATAAGACTCGTACCGTTGAACTCCCTTCGGACTCGACGTTTGCAATTGCTATGAAGACACAGCAACAGGCAGAAAGAGAGGAACAACAACGGATAAAGAACCTTGTGCTTAATTATGACCTTCAGCAGAGCGATGATCAAGAGGGTAAGTGCACCTGATCTTGCGCCCTGCATTTATTTCGACATGGGCTCATCTGAATTAGGTAACGAGCGGCCGACAACATTCTATCATAACCGGGTAGAAAAACCGAATAAAGACCGGGGCCAACGCGTTCGGAAGCTTCAGCTGAGCGACGTGGACTGGT